AAACAAGGACTAAAACCAGTGATCTCATATATAAAGCATTTCTCTATCAATAATATTTTTAATATGGTTAAGGAAAGACTGGACTTTTTATTGTCTTTAAGTAGACAAAAGTTATTATGTTCAGATTTCCTCGTCTTTGCTGCTTTACAGCAAACAGTTTCTTATTCATGGACTTGGGCTCAACAGACAATTTGGAGAGATTTGTTAAACAATAAATGACTTTATAAAGTCACTTTTTTTAATCTATATCAGTCTTTTGATCTGCCACAATAATGTAATAATGAATTTAAATGAAAATACCTCAAATTGAAGCTTTTCTCAGTAATTTTTAGGTGAGATTAAAATGAGATTAATTATATTAATTAATTACAGATCATAATTAAGTTAATCGCATGACAGCACTAATAATAATATCTCCATGGATACACACAGGTGGTGGCCTCTCCTGCTGAAAAGTTACATAGACCACCTTTAAATTTGAGTAATATTTATATTTGAAAACCTATGCAGCACTAAAACACAAAATAAAATCTCCAAACATCTGTATATGATTGGTTATTGATACTTTGCATTGACATCACACTGGGGGTGTTCTACGTGTATCTCTGTTGGTGGAATGTTCAACAGTTACTATGGTGATACGATGCACACATTACACACACAAACACAGACAAAATGTTTTAGGATAGTCTGAATACTCAAGAAAAAACACACACAATGGATTTAAACAACAGCTTTTTAGGATCCTGTAATAAATACAAGCATTCATGGTGCAAAAAAAAAAACTAAATGTGAGTGACTAACTGAAAGACTGTTGACGAATGCTATCTAACTGTAATTATAGTATTGTAACTGTAATTTTAGGTGTGAGGCTTGTTTAACAGCACAAAGCAGCTCACCTGTTGTAGTTCCAACGACGTCAGCTCTTTCTGGTCACATTAAAGATAAAGGTGCACTGTGTAACTTGTGCAGTGGAGGGTCCTTCACTGGTTTGTCTCCATGGAGATGTCCCTAGATCAAGGGCCACCAACCTTTTTCCTCCTGTGTGCTACTTTCTGTAATACGAAAATGCCAGAGAAGCACTAATTTTCACCAGAAATATTGTAAATATAAAAGCCATGGTAAGCCGAAGATGAGGTACAGTTAAATGTCTATAAAACATAACCCATTGTCCAGTTATCAGTGCACAAAATCATCAAAATTATACATTTACAAAGGAAATGGCCATTTCATAAAACAACTTTGAGTTATTCAGTGCAATATGTATAATTCAGAAATCCCTTGGCGAGCTACTTGGAAGGGGGAGGAGAGGTACTGGTAGCTCCAGAGCTACAGGTTGGAGAGCCCTGTCCTAAAATGTTCCACAGTATGGCCATAAACATATGAATCTCCATGGAGACTTGCAAACCAAATTACAGGTTCGATTTGTGGTGAGGCGACCCCACTCATAGTAAGAATTGTGAATATTTTTGAGCAATAAATAACACATGTATTTGAATAAAACCAAGACTGATTAGTTTAATAACAAACTGTGAACAATTTAAACCAATGCATTAACATCTCCATGGGGACAACTAAAAAGTAAAAAAATAAAGCCCAGATTAAGTCTACATTGAGTAACAGAGTCGTTCTTTCAGTTAGCTTCACAGCCCCAGGGAATGCTGATGACAAATGCAAAGTGTCAATACTTAATTGTGTAATAGAATTTTATAACATTATTTTGTATTACTGTAAGTCTAACCTATCGAGCTTTTGACAAATAGTGGAATAGTGTTGGCTGAAATATTCCATAAACCAGCCCAGTGAATACAAACTCAGACTAAAGGTTTGTGTGCATAGGTGGAGCACTTTGTCTAATATGTTCTCATTCACTTCTCAGAATTATTATGTGGGCCAGACTTCTGCAGCACCGAGACAAAGACACTTCTTGGATGGATGGAGCTGGATTTTTTGTGTGAAATATCATCTCTTTTGTTCCTAATGTAATGCCTTCATACTTCAGCGAGGCAGCCCATGCATGACGCCAAAGCCAAGGCAGGATCTGAGCACAATGACAAATTCAGACTTCCTTGTAGCAGAGGCAGAGGGAATGGTCCAGTTTGGCAAAGATGAAACAGTGCGGAGAGGATCCACGGATTAAGTCATTGAAAAATGTTCAAACAAATTACAATGATAGTTTTGTCAGGGTTTTTCCAGTGGCCAGGGGGACTGGGAGCAGTGAGGATGTGCAGAGGAGGTGTCATCTTTGGTTGGATGTTGAATAATTGGGTGTCATTTTGAAACATTGCAGGCAGTTTGAGACAGACTCTTGATGGAGGCGGTGTCCTGTTCTGAAACATGTCTTAATATGTCACTCATGCTGTTGACTGGGAAGAGATGGTTCAGGGGCCTATATTATGTAAGAAGGAGTCTTGTGAGTTTGTGTTACCTCACCAAAAACATACCTGGAGCTGTGTTATGCTTCATTTACACAATTCTGCATTATTAGTCTGTCAACATTTCTCAAAACATTGTTGCACTTTATAACAGCTACTTTTTACCTTTTGTTTAATCGAGATTGGAAATTCCTGAAATTATTCAAATGATTCAAGTGGAGGTGTATGAAGTTTAAAAATATAATGGAGCACTTCCTGTATTACCACTTGACATCGCAAGGTGGAACAGAGTGTTTTCAGTTTGACAGAAAGACTAGAAGCCTATATATGCAGGATTTGTGTGTTAAACATGTGTGAATGAAACAAAACAAAACTCCAAATATGTTTCTGAAAAGGGAACATTCTAATACAGATATAAAATAGCTTAATATGGACCCTTTAAAGATGAGTCTTGCATAAAAATGTTAGTGCTTTGCCAGCAATTTTTCACAGTATTGCATTAAATTTGGAGACAAGCAGCTCTGTTATCTTTTTAATGTTGTTTTTTTTAAAGTCTGTGTATTTTAATGTTTTGTCTACAGCAACTATGTAGTGCTCTGTACACGACAAATGGGGCTTAACAATGACCTGGTTTCAAAAGTAAATGTCTCATTCATTTTTCCAATAGATTTTGTTTAGAAAAAAAAAACAAACATTAAAAGTTTGAAAGCTTACTCAGGCATAATCAGCACAATGAGCAAAAATTCTATAATTCTACTTAAAATCTGTTTCTGAAATATAATAAATTATTAAAGCATTGTAAATATGCTTTTGGACTTAAAACAAATGTGTTATAGATATTAGTTAGCATGTAGCTGGTTAACCTCTTTCTTCTGGGTGAGTCTTTTTTTATTTATTAAAAAACTCTATGGGAAAAATTAATGGAAAATTGACTTCCAGAACCGGAGTGTGTGGCCACTGAGCTCCATTGCTTCTCAAGGACAATAAAGTTTATTCTATCCATCTATCACTCACAAAGTGAGTCCATGTTTTCCAAAGTATTTTATTAATCTATTTCTATTTTGCTCTTGAAGTGTGACAGGTAGATGATCCCCAGTCATGCCTGAAGTGCATATGAACCACTACACACGATAAGCAAATAGGGGTCCACCAAAGTAAAAACAAAAAACTTGCTGACAGATAAGACTTTGCAAAGTATAGAACAGAAAGGATTCAAATAACACTCACAAAATGTAAACCACTGAATAAACACTTTAGTTGTTGTTGGAAGTAGTAAAATCCTTAAAGGGATACAAGTCCTATTCATCTGTCCTGCACTTAAGATTCATTGCCTGTGACGTGGGAACTGGGCGCCCAAAGTAAAACCTTATCACTGTGCACTTCCTGCTTAACCAACTTTACTACTCGGGAATTTATTGTTTTAATAAATTTTGACTTTTTCTCAAGGGGAGTCAATTATAGGCCAAGGACAACATAGTATTTTCTGTTTATGGATATAGAGAGCAGAGCAGAAAGCAGGTTTGTAAGCGCGAGAGGTATTCAGGTCTGGGCACTATCATTGTACAATTGAAATCACCGGTGCCTTGGCAGAGGTCCATGCATTTAGCAGGTCTAATAGTGGGTTTTCATTTTCCTTTTCGTTATTTGGAGTATTACTATGCTGTAACTTATATTGTTAGAAGTTCTGTATTGACTGCCAAGTGCTAATGCAGGTACTTAACACAATCTGGTTTTCTTTAAAATAATCTAAGCAATAATAGCATAATAATGTGGATGTTAACAGAGGCCAGCTACAATGAAACAGCCCCTGGAGACTTTATGCACCACATGTTCTGGTATAGAATTCTTATGTACAGTGTAAGAACCTGCCTCCACATAGGCCAGTTCACGCAGAGATTCATAATGAAGAAAAAAAAAAAAAAAAAAAAAAAGATGAATAAATACAAATAAAATGGCAGCTTATCAGTAGCAAGACTTCCATAAAAAACAGCTAGAAACAGCCGGAAATGTACCGTGTCCTAATTTGTCATTTCATATGCACTGCATCGCTTTTTGGGTGAAGGACGCTTGACCTGCTTATTATCCTAAGATTTACTTGTTGGGAATGTTCCACAGTATTGCATTTAACTTTTGCTATGGAGAAATGTTCAAGGTCAAGTTCGTCAAATCCGTAGAGGTGTTTTTCATAAAACTTTAAGCCAGGGGTTTCCAAACTTTTTTCATCAAGGGCTGCAAATCAAATTGAGGGCCATAGACTGATGATCAGTGCAGCAGGCTAGAATGAGCCATGAGAACTTTATTCATGCTTTGATCCTCAAAAGGACAGTCTTTGATTTATATGCTTTATCAAGATTTTCAAAAACATATGGTAAAAAGTACTGCTTAAGATAATACGGGCCAATTCACGTGGATGCCTAAGGCCATAGTTTGGACATGCCTGCTTTAAGACTTACAAATAGCCTAAACAAAAAATATATATTCATATGTTTTATGCCAAATAGAAATTGAAAACACAGAAGGCATGATCTTGATCAGAAAAGTTACATAGTGCTCCTAAACATTTAAAGGTAAATGACTAGATCTCTAGATATTCCCATTGGGATTTGCACAAGAATTCACAAAAGGTTTTCATTTTCCCCATTTTATTACAAAACACTTCCAACAGCGACCACATACAGTAGGAAACACATCAAAGAACAAATCACTAAGTGCTTAAATATATCAGAGAGGGGGTGGCAGAATTAACACTGTTTTAAAGACTTTGAAATGAGTTTGGTGAGATTTTAGCTTTAGTTACATTCAAAACTAACCACTGCTTTATCTAATAATATTCTTTCTTAAAAATGTATCTACAACGTTCTAGTTTATACTTAGTCTTAATCTGGATTTGCAACATGAGCTGCCATGTAAGGTGCAACTAACATTTTAGTTTGTCTCCAAACTAGCAAAAAGGAAGGATATAGAAAATGGATTCAGATGTTAAGAGAGGCTTAAAGTGTTAAAACCATATCTGTAGCATTTGTGGAGATCAGAAATAAGATTAAAAGTAGTATGTGCCCTTAGTTTGTCTGCAAAGTTAAAGAAGACATATTATGCTTTTGTCACATAGAGTTATAATCTATGACGCCAGTGGATGGTACAAAAGGTTTCGGAGGTAGTCATTTGGACAATGCTTTTAAAATCTGAAGCTACTGCTCTGAGAAGCAAGAATTTATACTGCCCTTACCCGTGAATCAATATCAGTGGTGGAAGATAAGTACAGTATTACTACTTGTACTTTGTTAAGTAGAACTTAAGTACATTTTAAAGAGGATATTTTTTTTTACCTTTACTTCACGATATATAAAAGCAGGTATCTGTCCTTTCTACTCCACTACATGTACATTTTTCAAATATGTACTTCGTATATGTTTACCATGTTTGTGGTAACATCCTGACTAAAGTTTTTGACTTCAAGCTTCAACTTTGAGCAAGCAAAATAAATAGACAAAAAAAAATAAGAAATTGTATTGATTTGTATTGCTATGGTTAACCAAAATATGTATCACTTGTTAACCAGTCACTTCGTTTTCACTGCATTTGAGTTAAATACTTTTAGTTTTTACTCTTATAGTACATTTTTAAACAGGTATTTCAATACTTTTACCCAAGATGTTTATTCAAATGATACTTTTAATAGTGTAACTTTTTCCTCAGTATCTGTATTTTTACAGAAGCAACAATAATGAGTAATTCATCCACCACTGATCAATGATTAAAACTACCATAGATTTAACATGTCCTAATAAACTTCACTGTATATGTCATCACAACAAAATGCTGCTGGACCATGCTAATGCCTCCCGTAGTTACAAGCAGATTTTTAATTGTTTTTTTTTTGTTTTTTTTGCTAAAATTGTAAGTGTTGCTGAATCGTACGTGTATCATGAATTAAAAAAATAAACATTCTAAGTACAGAGCAGTGGGTGTGTATGAGGGGAAGATGAAAACATGGATTTTCTTAGCAATGGCGTCTTGATAGCATGAATGGGAATGAACATGCACAAATCACTCTAAATACAAATTTGAGTGAGTAAACGAGAAAACAATTATGGCAAGGTTAACAGCTTTAAGATTTGAAAAGTTTGCGCAATATGTCTCCTTTAAAAAAACTAAGATAAGCAGCTACAGATAAGATACAAAGTCAGTTATTGCTACGGCAGTATTGTGTATTGCATTGTACACGTCACTACTGTAACCTCAAGTCACCATCAAACAGACTGCATTTCGGAAGTAGAAGTAGGATTTAGGCCTATCACGATAATTACTATATCGACTTAATGTTCAGTATATGAAAGCTGGAACTATATTTTTGGGGGTCAGTATTTATCGTGTGTACATTTTCTTTGCACTACTGGAGAATTTTGTGTTATTTTTTGACTATACCATAAGATTTAATCATAAAAAATGGAATTATGGCTGATTACAGATGCAAAACTAAGTACTAAAGTTAGCAGTTCAATATTTCTGAACGATTTTGTACATTTAAAATCGTTTTTATGGTTTAAATCTGCTCTTGGGTTATTGTGTCAGTGGCATAAATTATCTTAAATATTCCTGTTATCGTGACAGGCCTAGTAGGATTGTGGACTACCATGATTAGAACTATGCCCATGTATTCCCCACAAGTTACAGTTGTATAGATTATCACAGCAAAAGTTTTCTTATCCAAAACATTCACAAAAATCCCACAGTACATCAGTATTATTACGGTATAAAAATAAGTTACAAATCTGCATGAATACTTTTTACAAAAACAGTTATAAAATGCATGTTCCCAGTACAGGTAAAACCGTTTTTACACCAAAGAATATTCTCAGTGCCTGTTAAAAGTGTGATCTGTGTTTTTGCTTGAGTCCGTTCCACAGCACTTGGCAACGTCAGAAATGTGAGATTAACACAAATGAAAAGTCTTACGCGGCCAAGATCCGTCAGTTTTTTATCGCCACTTCTCAGTTTGGCAACAGACAGAAGAGCAGTGTCCCGTTCTCAAACAGATAAGAAGTGTAAAAGGATTTCCCCTTAAAGTAGAGCGCATGATGACTCTTCACAGGCTGAGCACAGGACATGAGGAAGAGAAGAGAACTTTTATAAGAAACACACCAAATCAATCAATTACAGTTAGCCCTAAAACCTCCAGACATTCTTAGCTACCCCAATCAGGCATAACACTAAGACCACTGACAGGCGACGAGAGGTGTGCTACATATCAAGCAACTTTTTACCCATGAAGTTGCTGTGTTAAGCTACAGCCAGGGTACATTGGTCACAAAATGGCAGTTTTATTTTGCAAGGAGCTCTGGAACTAAAATGCAACACGTCACATGGAAAAAGTGCAAAATGTCCTTAGGTAAAACAAAGTTAAAGATCCTATATTACGCAAAATTGACTCTTGTGAGCTTTAAGTCACGTTACAATGCTGTTACCTCCTTAAAAACATACCCGGTGTTGTGTTTTGTTTGATTCACCCATGTTTGAGTAAACCTGTATTATTAGTCTTTCTACATTTCCAAATCTCAAAATGCTCTGTTCCACCCTGAAAAAGTTAACTCCTACCATTTACCTTTTGTTCAGTAGTAATTATCCAAATGATTCTAGAGAAGGCGTATGGAGTTTAAAAACACAGTGGGGCACTTCCTGTATTACCACGTGACATCACAAGGTGGAACAGTGTTTTCCATTTGAGAGAAGAACTCTAAGAGCCTAAATATGCAGGATTTGTGCGTTAAATGTGTGTGTGTGTGAATGAAATAAAACACAACTCTAGGTTTGTTTTTGATTAGGTACCAGCGTTAAAACATAAATCAGAAAATAGTGTAATACAGGCCCTTTAAGAGTAAACAAAAATCTGTGGAACAACCCCATAAGCCGCTGGAGAACTGAGAGTGACTAGACTTATCACTATTATATTAGGGGAAAAAAACTGTTACTGGTAAATAATTGCCAAGTTTACTATTCAGCATTTTAACAGCTCCACTGGGCCAAGTATTCTATCAGGTGTGATGAAACCTCCTATGCTATGACCTGGTCCCAATTGCACATGTACTTACTGGTAGGAGAAACCAGACCATCTATATAAAACCTACACAGGGACAGGAAGAACATGCAAACGTTGCACAAAAACGCTTGAAACGCAGTGCCCAGTACCAAAAGGGATTTCAGTAAGAAACAGTGACCAACCAAAACCAGGTAATTCAAGATAATAAAGATGTTTTTGCAGGTCTGATAAAAGGAGCAGACACAGTAAAGTATTTGTAGTCACAGTGTTATGCCTGATTGGAAGTAGTTTACAATTTTGCAAAACTCTCCAAGAAAAGGCACAGTCTGATACTAATGGCCTCATATCAATATCCAAATACAAATCAATACTAAAATTTTCACAAAAACTGTATGTACTCATTGGAACAAGTATAAAACTGAAAATAAATAAATAAATAAATAAAATATAATAATAATAACAATAACGACAAAGTCGAACGTTTTAGCATGAAGTCGATCTATCAGAAGAACTTGTATAAAATGGTATAACGTGTTAATATGAAAGCAACTAATATTTTATTTTGAAACTATATTCTATTGTATTTTTAAATGAGTTTTATTTATTTATTGCTATTTTATTGTTTTGCTATTATTTGATTTTACTGGTTAAAGTTCGTATGATTAAATCTGAGCATTTATTTTATTACTATATTATATTATTGTTGTTAGTGTGTATTTGTGTGACACTTTGGAAACTGTTCATGAAATGTGTTATATAAAGAAAGTGGACTGAACTGAGTAAAAAGGTAAGTTAGTGTGGTATTAAAATCTGTATTGAGCTACTGAGTACTGAAATAGATTTAAATAGGGATACAACAATATCAGTACTGGTATCAAATATAGGCATCAATACTGAAAATTTAGCTGGACTGGGTATCGGTTGATATCGGCTTAATATCCTGGTTGGGCCTTTAATTTGATGTAATATGACTAACTACAAAGTGATTTTAGCCTAGAAGGTCTGAGAATGTTGGAACTTTTATTCATACAAAGTTCTTCAGAAGTCTGAATTTGAAGGATAAACACAGAGTTACCGGCACATAACACAAGTGCATCTATTATGTAATAGGTTAAATGTGTTTTAGTGCGTAAGTGCCATCCCTGTATTAGTAATATAATATCGGGAATTGGCAGATACTTAAAGTCAAAGCATCGATATCGGAACTGAAAAAGCTGGATCGGTGCATCCCTAGGTTTAAATAGTTACATAGTGACAACACTGCTAAAGGTCAACATCCACTTGATCCAAATGTGAGCTCAGATTTGACTAAGCCACAGGACACATCACGCATTATTTCCCCATTAACAGATCTTACTTAACTGAGAATGACCAAACACTACCATGAAGTGAATGGTTCCTGAGCAGCAGATGTTGTACTACGTGATACAATTAGGCTCAGAAAAACACTGAGTGTAATGGCTACCAGAGCTGCACCGGAGAGAGCGGAGCATGTGTTGAAACTTTAAACTTTAACTACTTTAGTCCTTTTTGAATGCTCATTGACATAATTGATTTGAGAAATATATATATACAGTACTAGTATAGACAGACAAGATGTTGTGATTTATGTACACATATTTCTCAGAACAGCTCAGAATCGTTAAAATAATGAATAATTTAATAGCTTCACTTAAAAATTTTGAAATTGTATATTTTTCTGGACATTTTATAACAATGATACACGATTTAAATTTTTATGATTTCGCACTAATATATTTTTACACAAAATGCAAAAAACAAACTAGACATAAAAGATTCTCCAAGTTTTATACTTTTTATATTTAGTTAATTATTTAGATTGTTATAGTCAGTTGGAGGTTCATAGTTTTCTCAATTTTTAAAGAATTATAAAATTACCATAACTTACCTACGCTTCAGTCGCTTTTGTGGAAGAGCTCTGCAAAAGAAAAGGTCAACATATTTAGCTGCTACTGACAAAGAATTTTTTAACAAAGGTAAAGGCAAATATTGCTAACTCCTCCATAGTTCTGAAGTTCAGTTTTTGGATTTCTCTCCTAAACTGCACGAGGCCCGTCACATAATTAATATATCGGTTAAAGTTCAATACATGATCACTGGAGCTACACATTTTGGGGTTCAATATTTATCATGTGTATATTTTCTTTATTAAAATGTGGAGATTTGGCGTATTTTCTGTTGTGATCCAATAACATTAATTGACTTCTGTGGCTAACTATTGGTTCGATCTGTTATTTATTGCAGCTCATGTCTCTTCATGATACAAGTATTATTATATTAAAATGTATCTGTATGTATGTATATATGTAGTATTTTAAACTGCTCTGTGTGTGTGATGCTTTTGTGTGACCAGTTCTTACTGTGTGTGTGTGTGTGTGTGTCCACCAGCTTTACACAGGACATATACAGTATCTACGGTAAGGTGATCCATTTTATTTAAGGCACCATGTTCCTCTATCATTGTTGTGGTTTTCGAAGGCCATAAAGCTGACAGCTGTTACGGAAAAGGACCTAAAAATAATGTGATGTGGAGTGACTGGACTGAAGAACTGTACTTTCTGTATAATTTGATCTTAAAATGTTGGAAGAGAGCTTTGTGAAATTATTGTATGTAAAGTGTCAAGACTCAAGAGCCTAGAATAAGTGAAATTTTAACTAAAACTAAATATAAATACTAACTGAATGTAGATAACAAAAAGATATACGAAATATAACTGTACTAAAATTTTATCACTGACAAAATTTTCACTTTTATAATGCTAAAAAGAGTAACGAAAAACTTCATAGGCAAGAGCAATTAAAACATTTACAGTTATCCTTATAGCAATGGTTAAAATGACTTGGCGCCCTCTGGTGTAAGATATACAGAACTGCATTTATATCTAGAGCTAAACAATCACCTTTTAATTTGTTTTTTCTTTTTGTGGTAGCTTGCTAAAGATGTAATGGCAGGAACAAGTGTGTAGCATGTGTTTGGCTCGCTCATAAAGGGCCCGCAGTCATTATTCTCACACTTGCCTGTAAATGTTGGGGTCTAGCTGCATGGCTGTGTCCTGCGGTAACTGGGATAAGTGCACCACTTTAGTCTTCAGCTGAGTCCGCTCCGTCTCATTCACCCAAACGTCAGGTAATCTGCACAGAGAAGAGAGAGGGAGGAGGAGAAAGGAGAGAGAGAGAGAGAGAGAGAGGAGTGTAAATAGTCAAGAAATAAGGGTGCATGCCATGGCGCACAGAGGGTTATTGAGTCTAGAGCCACATGTTAACACTTTCAAAAACTAGACACACTAACACCAGGTAAAATAAAGTGCATGCAAACAACCAGTGCCTTTGAATTAAATAGTTTGGCAAACAATTTTCAATAAGATTTTCCGTACATTTGACATTGGGACAAACAAGTTTTGTGTTAGAAAAACCTCTGAAGTAAGTTACATTAGGGCAGTAGTCAATATATGGACAATATATGGAACAATTGTAGCTATACCAGCTTGTCAAAGCCTGATCTTATTGCCTAGTATGAAATTGGTGTGTGCATGAGTGATGGTTGACGGGGTTGATGGTGCAATGGGCAGCCTCTTTTCTGTCAGCCTGCCCCAGGGCAGTTCTGGCTGCAATACTGTCTTACCACCAACATGAATGAATAATGCTCTGTAAAGCGCGTTGGGTGTCTTGAAAGGTTCTATATACATCAATGATTAATTAATGAATCAGTAACAACAATTTTTTTCCCATATCGAACTATTATAACTTGATAAAATGTGATCCTTTAAAAAAACTACTACTACCAATATTAATTTCCAGAACATAAACAAAACACTTATGTAACCAGTGTCATTTAACTCAATTTCTTTGTCCAAACTCTGAAGTCTCAAAACCATGCTTTGACTGACAGAGGCTCGTCTGTGGTCTCTCCCTACCAAATTGTGTATTAATGATGACTGCAATAACAGTATTACACTACCAGGCAAAATGTTCTCTGCATCTTCTACAGTAAAAATCCTACTAAAGGCAAATGTGAAAACATGACCTGGCACTACCTCACTGTACAGCCCTTTGAAGTGAGTCGTGCTTCAGTTAAAGCTGGGCGCAGGAGACTATAACAAAGGACTGTACACAACCAGCCCCCTCTCCTCTCTCCTCTGCCAACAGCCCCCACGTCATGGCCTGCGTCAGAGTGGGAGCCCCCAAAGAAGCACACAGCTCATACACACCCATACACACCCACCCATACCCAGGCCCAGCACTCACACAGCCTCAGCAGCCCAATGAGTGGGTGCTGTCCAAGTACTTAACAGGGAGCTAAGCCTTTCAACACAACAGATGCAGGCACTGGTGGAATAGAAATGACAAGACTGACAAAAGGGTGAACAAGCGAGTAGCAATGTACGAGTTTAGAGAAAATAAATATATAATCATAAATATAGTGAATATAATAAAACTGTGTTTTTTTCAAAATGTGCTTCATTTAAATGCAGTGAACATTTTAACCTATTTATTGACTTTTAATGACTCTTGATGAAATTATTGTTGTGTTCAAGTAAGTTCAAGTAAGTTTTTCTTATAATGCCTAATAGATTTACAAGTATTCAATTCACAAAGCACATTTAAAAACATACAGGGGTTCTAACATATGAAAGAAGAAATGCAAAACTACCAGCCAAATAAGGACAGTAACAAATGATTTTGTTTATTTCCATTCCATTTTGTCATAACATATTTCGATTTAAAGTACATGAATCCTGTTTATTGCAGTTTTTAGAGCATGTTTGTAATCTACACAGTTAGCAATTAAATAATTGGGACATTTCAAAATGCCATTTTAATTCAATTGAAATGAAGTGTGCAGCCCTAAAAACTGCAAGTCACTGATCTTAAAACATTTAAATATTGAACTTGTGGCTAGTTGCAGTTCTTTCAAGTGCTCATGATGGTGGTTTCGGGCTCTTTAACGGTTTACACATGCGAACATTCCCTATAACTACCAAAAAACAAATAAGAATTTGTAAATTTAACTGGGGCATTTCCCATCCCACGTTTAATGCCAAAAAAATAAACCAAATAATCAATATCTTAAAATGGCAAGAACAACATAGTACGTAAGGTCATGGCAAGTCCAAAAACAGTGTATAAAGTTAATACTGTACCTAAAGACAAACACTCCTTTATTTAGCACCTTTCTGCTCCTGGTCAGCAATAATAATACAGTCTTTCACACACACACAGAGAGAGAGGATGCTGAGAGGAGCCAGGATGGAGATGAGAACCAGACACTCTTGGAGACGCATAGGAGTTTGGGTTAGCTTTGAGTTACTGTCCTTGTGCGGAGCAAATCTGCCATGACAGGGGCGGACCTGCGCAGTGTTAACCCTGCCATAAACACTCTGTCCCGGCATGTGCGTGCAGATCACATGCACCAAAAGTGGAAACAAATATTAAGTGTGAAAAGGGTAAATTGTGGGTTCACAGACATCAAAACATTGTAGAATCCCTATAATCTAAACTGAGCTTGAGGACAGGTGAGAATTCTATGGTAATTGTGGATGTTTTGGCCTGGTTTATGGTTAAAATCTGTGTTATTACGGTGTCTAAACAGAAAGTGTAATTATGTTTTCACAATAGCTTCAGAAAGTGGTGCCATTAATCAACCCCAAAGCACAGAACGACTTCATTTTAAATTGTTTGCAGTGGTCCAAATTTAATATTCACATAGCTAATCCATTACAAGCATCTTAATTATTCACTGCAATAAGTTCATAAGCGTTTTTCAAAGAGGTGTTTTTCCACCACGGTAAGGCTAACAACAACAAATAGCATGCTGACCACATACTTTCTGATTATTGGACAAAAAACACTTTATAATTAAATGCAGTCATGATTTACTTTGATTAAACCACATACCTGTACATGGACAAGACAACTTTTGTGGTAGTGGGCCTTAAATATGGCAAGTTTATAGAGCCAGTCCTTAAAATAATGGCATGTTGTTCAACAATTGTGCAATGATGGGAAAATTTGAAAATGTATTTAGTTAGAGAATACTGCATTGTATTATGCCATAATGAAAAAACATGACAGATAATTACAAACAGCTTAATTCTTATTTGCTACTCATTCATTTATGTTTAATTAGAGAAGGAAAAACACTGCACACACTCAACAGAAGAGTGTGCTTTCTTTTTCTTCTTACAAATATGGTGCAATTCAAAGCTTAAATTCCATGATGAAGTACTGCAATGCACTTCACCAGTATTTAAAAAGTAACTAGATTCTATTATAATTGTAAACCATCATAACTGTAATGAAAGTAACTCGAAATTAGTAATCAGAATACATATTTTCAGTACATGTATTTAGTTTCTTCCCAACATGGATTATATGCTTGAATATTTTTCTCAAAATAGTCAATCTCCAAATAAGCCCTGATGAAAACCAGTCATAGTAGAAACATGTTGACTCTGGCCATTTAAATAAAGGTCCTATAACTATATTTTCCCTTGTGCAACTTTTACTTTTTTGGCGTACCTGTTTTTTGTTTGTGTCCAAAGTTTTGATCTTTTTATTCTAAGAGCACACTCTACCTGTTCTCACTGACTGGAACGCCTGCAGCAAACAGCCACATTTTTGTTTTTCTGTAGTGAATCTCCCATTGAGTTTTATAGACCCTTAGACTTAGACAAACCTTATTGATCCAAGAGGGAAATTATTTGGACACAGCAGCTCACACATCACAATATATTATAAAAACAAAGAGCAAACATATAAATGGTTATTAAAAAGCTAGATACTGGTGTCAAATAAGGCATAATTATATAAATGTATATGTACGTAAAATAAAATATAATTATGTAAAATATAATTACCTCTTCCCTCTGTATGAAATTCTAACATTGTCTGATTCTAGATCGTAAATACGATCTGCTAGATGAATGAGGAAGACATAGGCAGACTAGACAGGTACTTGTGACTGTCACCGATTGTCACGCATACACTTGACGATATTTATATCCTGCTATGGCCCACGGAGGCAGTGTTTATCCTCACAATGCCAAATAAAGACAAATGGAGCTAGCAGAGTTTCCAGGAGGTCTGAAATGTATATTGTGATTGAGGTCTAGTTCCGTAGGTGTCTGCATGCAGTCTGCTCCCTGATGGATTGCTGGCTCCAGGCCGAACCCTTTTCCATGGATGACAAAGTTTATCATTTAAGAAAAGTCTATATTAGATTGGCGAAACAATATGCAGCTCTGTGCGGAATTCTAAATCCAATGTTCCCTTATTTACAGTGTATTCGGTTCAGGAAAAGTGTGGAGCTTCGGAAGTACGTCAGTGAAGTTGCAAACGTGATAAAGAATCCTTTTTTAGAAACTCTTCACTAGATTTTTTTGGTCTGCAATGCCATGGTATGAAAATTTACTTGTAATTTGTCGAGGAGAAGAGCAAAACACTGTCTAAGTGCTATAAAGAGCGCCATATTTCAGTCGAACAGCAGCAGACAGAATTGCGTGATAGAGGAGTAGCACTACGGGATGTTAATGTCAGTTTACACAGGCGAATCACCTGGACAAGCTTGTTTGACACACACGAGGACTGCTTCATGGACATTCTTGGATCACGCAGCAGCAGTTTCTCTGTGTCTCTTCAACATTTACAGAAAGGAAAGACATTTGGTCCGGCCTATAGAGCAAATACGCCTAACCTTTTATGGTACTGAAAGATAGATGTCTTCTCTACACTTTGAATATGGGAGCGGTGGAGTAATTACCTCAATCATACTTATTATTTTAACATGGGACAGACATACTGAGAGAGTAATGTACAGTACTGAACTTTCTTGACAGGGGGTCCACCAGTTGCAAAATAAATGGAATTGAATGAATTGAATACACAGGTTTAATGCTATATTATGGAACATTCCTGGCAAAACAACAATTCCATTATATTAAATGGTGCACTATATTACTTTTTTTGTTGGAGCTCCATCACCTGTTTGTTTCAATCGATGTGTCATTGCTCCGCTTGGAATGTTCCACAGTATGACATTAAATAGCTCTACCTTACATTTCTTACAGGTGGTTTTATAGCTCAGGTAAAAAACAGGCATTCTGACTGTTTTTTGCCACAGATCTGACCTGTAACTTGGTCTGGTTTGGTCTCGATAGATCGTATTGTATGTGATGACACTGTATCGATATCGTGATCTGCTGTATTGATATGTCACCAAAAGTATTTTTTGGGATATTTTATTAAAATAATTTGTTACAGCACTACAGTTTTGTTGCTTGTTTAGTGGAGGGAAACTTGTTTATGCAACACATGTGACATTTTCACTGTTTTGATGATTAAAATGGGTGTGTTTCATATTCACTTTGCACAAGAAGTGGCTTAACACAGACTTTTATTATCACAGCCATGATTTAGCCATTATTTTTTATTGAACTGTATCAAAACTATTTGAAATATATCATATTGTATCATACGCACTGTATCGAGATATGTATCATATTGTGTTCTATGTATCGAGGTATGTATCGTATCAGCAACTTCTTAATGATATCCAGATCTAAATGTCATACTGTGAAACATTCTAGACGCCATTAGAAAAGTTACACAGTGTATGTTTAATTCACAATTTCTCACACTAGAATTGCACTGGAACAAGGTTAAAATTGTTATCTTCTATCCATAACAGAAGCACATTTTTGGCACTAGATTTGAATGTAGGCCACTTGTCTTAAAACTTTTCTTCGTCCTCACTTCTTGCACTCCTCCTCTGCCTCGTTCTTTCCCATACGAGTTGAACCTGTGTGCACCATTAGCCTGTGTTTGGACGTACAGATATGTGCGGGAGACGTTTCCTGATTACAAACTCTCATTATTTTCCCTGTGGTTCCACTCCCACTCAGGAGGCTGTGAGCGGAGAGAAGATCAGAGAGGAGACCAGGAAACAGGGCTGGTACACAGAGAGACAGCAGCATCTTCAGACTAACATGTCAGCTACAATCAGCCTCACATACATCCACACCATTATTTTATCCTCCTCCATCCTCTACACTGCAGCTCTTTCAACTTGTCTGCAAAAGTATCTTCTTCCTCCTTACCTTGATGGACTTTTCCGAAACATTCAATCTACTTAAATGTATCTATGTTTTTTATTTTTATTTTTTGACTTTTGCAGTATTTTGTTGAGATCAGGTTACAGTTTTTGGGCTACTTGACCAAGGGATAATGAGGGTGCTTGGGGACGATTGTTAGCCACAGGGGTAGTAGTTGTAACATAACAGCTGCTGTTGTTAATTTTGTATAGTACTTCTGTAGTATTAGCAGTGGAAGAGGACACTAGTAGTAGTAGTGGTGAGTAGCAGAGATGGGGATTTGCAAGTCGTGACTTTGACTCAAATCAGACTTGAGTTACTATTTGTAGGACTTGAGACTTGACTTGATAAAATTGAGTGACTTGACTCAGACTTGAGAAGCACTTAAATTTGAGTTTTTTTTCTATTCTGACCATAACGATTCACACCAAGATCTTGTGAAGACATTTAAAAAGGAAAAATTTGCATTCCTACAAAATTTTATATACTCTATAAATTTTCATATAAATATACTGTGTTTTTTTAAAGTACAATTTAGTTTAAAATTCATATAAATTGCAAAAATCTAAGCTTTATTTGGTACTTTGGTTTAAAGACTTGGACTTGACTTGGACTTACGGGCCAGTGACTCGAGACTTGACTTGGACTTGCCTGTATTTGACTTGACTCAGACTTGAGGTGAAAGACTTGAAACTTACTTGAGACTTGTAAAACAATGACTTGATCCCACCCCTGGATAACAGTAATAGATGCAGTAATAGCTGGAGTATAACCACAGGGGTAATAGTAGTAAGAGTAGTGCTACCAAAAGCAGTAACAGTAGCAAATTCAGGCCTTTTAATTTTGTAACTTATCGTTGTTAACTGTTGCAATCATAGTTGTAGTAGCTGTAGTAACAAAAGCAGTAAACCTAGCAGTGGATGCAGTTCTTGTTCTTTGTTTCAGCAGCAGTTAGTTGATTAATTTACTCAGTCAAGTTAGGAGTTACAACTTGAATATAAAGTTTGTAGTAGCATCATTGGTAAAGCAGAGCTCTCTTTTCCTCAAAGAAAATAGAAAGTATGTTTGACATGTTGGTTGTGAGGAGTGGGCTGAGCGTCTCCTGTCCCCCTGGGATGAGCACGCAGAGTTCATTCAGATGCACGAAAAATGTTTATTGTTTCAACCAGAAATGCAGCCGGGAAAATGAGACGCTTTCAAAACAGCCAAGTGAACTGAGACATGACTGCTTCTAACGCACACCACACACTGAAATATGGATCACAACGTGCATGTGTAAGTCTGCGAGGTCTGAAAGTTGTTTAGTTTTCACATAAACCACATTGATTACTGATGGAGATCATAGTTGTTACTGGACTTTTGACAGCTCAGAAACCACGCCATATTAACCATGTATTACTACAGCTGTTTAGACTCTGGGCTGAATCGTTGCTAATGTTACGCAATGACGAACGTGATTTAGGCAAAGTACATGAGCTTGCGTGAGTATGGGGGGACTTGAAGTCGTCAAACGCACAGCTCCAATAAAACAAATATTACAATAATCCAAGAGTGAAGCTTGGAAAGACTTGTAGCGGGCCCCTCTGACGTCAAAGGCAGCCACCATGTCGCGCCTGCAGCTGCGTGGAAAAGAGGATGGTAAAGTCCATGCACAAAGCTCCATAGACGCATCCTTGTACACACACATAGATGATGTGGAGGTGTGTGAGAGCGCAGAGGAAGTGAACTGTGTGGATGGAGATTAGTCAGACCAGATCTGATTATATACATTACTTATGAGACATTTCCACGGCTTTTGGGGGAAATATTATATGCATTAATAGTGTGCATTCATGTTTTTTCAGGACACATTTAAGACTCAAAAGCCTTGTTTTCCTCTTCATTAAATATATTAAAGCTTAAGTATATTCAGTAATTAGGAATACTCCCATCCAGCTTTTTAGTTCCAATACCAATATTGAGTCTTTAAGCATCTGCAAATACCTGAACTGTGTAGGGATGGAAAATGACACTTATTTCGTTAGAACACAGTTGATGAGATCCCATTGTGTTGTTTATCCTTCAAATAACTAGTGAACCGTTTTGACGTTCCAGACAAAAAAAAATCTGTCTGTAAAGAGTCTTATTAAATTCAAACAAAAGCCCAACCAGCATATCGACTGAATCAATATCATGGAAACAATACCTGATCCAGCAAGTTTTTCAGTATCAGCGCCAATATCCGATATCAGTATTTGTATCGGTACATCCCTATTTAATATACAGTACCACATAAAACATATTTCATTCCAATTCAGTTAGTAATAATTGCTAATAATTGAACTCAACAGCAGTACAGGTACACACTTTGTAGCCCGCCAAAGTTCCTGAAGTACATTTATTATTCATTTTTCCCACTGACCTTTCAAAAACTCAAATATTGAGTTAAGAGTGTAAAGGCATGATGGAAGCTCACCAGCTATGTGCATAACACGGTTGTTTTCAGTCCAAAAAACACATTTAAAACTTGAAATATATTCATATTAAGTGCTTCAAGGTAGACTTATTTTTTCTTATAAGTGATGACTTTAAAAGAGTAAAGGCAGAGTAATCGAACACACCATAGTGGTACACTGAACCTAAGATAGACTTTATAACTATTGCCAATTCCACACAGAGATGGTCAAATGTTTCTGACATTTTTTTTAAGAATGGTAAAAATCTCTTCTTACCTTGCTATGACTTTTCTCATTCATCACATACAGATATTTCACACCCAAATTTTCAGCTTGGTAATGGCACAACAAGTACACTGTAGCTAGCTAATATTGTGTTTTTAAAGATTTTTAGATTTTGATTTTAGTTTGTAATTATAGTACTTACATGTCTTCTGGAGTCCAATGCAGTAGCACCTTCACTTTCCCAGACCCCTCTTTCCTCTTGGCCAGCACCTGCACAGAAATCCACACATTTTTGCTACTTATTTTGAAATGTACTATTACCATTTATATTGTTGCTATAATATATTGTGATGTGTGAGCTACTGTGTCCAAGTAATTTCCCTCGTAGATCAGTAAAGCTTGTGTAAATATTCACTAATGCAAATACCACCTTGGTCAGCAAATTAGACATATTCTTTTTTTATATTACACTTTGCTTTTTAATTAAGATTGGCACTTATTTTGAAGTCTTCGGCTGCTAATGCAACAGTGTAGTTCAAAGCTTTACCCCAGCGCTGGCCCTCTCTGTAATGAATTATGACTCTCCATGCTTCAAACATTTCACTATGCAATACTCAGCCTGATCATTACGCTAATAAACCATGTGAGCAGAACTTTTAATAATGCATGCAAGCACTCAGTCAGGCTATTTTCAGCAGGAAGCCATCTCACAGTCTCCTGCAACTCATTGTAACGCAGAGGAAGCCAAGTATGGAGGCTGTCCTTAGAAATCAGGGTTATGTACAGAAAGGATTAGCATAAAACGTGTCAGTGCACTTAGTTTGAAATATTTAAGATCCAGAGAGACTGTGTCGAATTATGTTATAGAGATGAAAAACACTTGTCAAATATTTGCTTTGATAATGCATATTCGTCCTGGTTTAACCTGATCTAAAGGCACGCTGTGTAACTTTCCTGGTATAAGATCAGCCACCAGCTTGAGTCCATGTAGATGTTATTGTTTTTTTCCTGGAATGTTCGACAGTATGGCATGTAATTTAACTATCTCCATGGAGACAAGCAGCCACATCACCAAGCCAAATTACAGGTCAGATCTGTGGAGAAGTGGGCTCGCTCACAGTAATAATGCATATTTTTATGGCAGTTTTGAAAAATAAAACTCCTATAATTTAATAAATGCAAGATATATTTATTTAATGTCATAATGTGGAACATCCCAGGCAAAGTAATAACATCATCATGGAGACAAGCAGACGGCGGACCTTCCACTTGAAAAGTTACACAGTGCACCTTTAAAGACACCACAAATGAATGAAGGAATACATTACAAGAAATACATGATTGACTTGATATGGCCTTTATAGAGCAGCATCTGTTACTGATTAGAACTGCACTGAATACTGTTATTGTGCTGTGCTTACACAGCACTCACTTAAGGGGTTTGATACTATTGTTTGTTTTCTTACGACAATGACAAGTATTGAATCTCGAGGACATTTTTTAGATAAAGAAATGTGGGACATTATCAGCAAAAGGTTAAACTCAATCTAAATAATCCACTGAATTGAATAATACAAAGACATTTGAACAGTGGATGAAGCCAGAATCAGGATTGTTATAATATGTAAACATACTTCTATTATTATTATTACTGCCATCATCTTTTGTATTTAAGTAATCGGGTTTGAAAACAACTAATCATAAAATTTGAATTTACAAAACAGGCAATGATGTCGGGTGGCACAATATATTGTTTCTAAATTGATATAGCAAAAAACTAAAATATATCGCACCGCAACACCACAAGTTTAATAATTTGGGTATAACCAATAATTTAAGGAATATATATTTTAGTTTTAGTTGAATTTAAATAGTTCAATAGTGTATATTTTTGTCATTAGAATGTAGTAGAGAAATTTAAGCAAAAATATCTGATCAGAGTGAGCCCCTGAAGTGAAATTTCATGTGCAAATCTAGAAATCCACACAGAAAAAATTGTATAGTTTAATTTTGGACACATAATTCGAGGTGCTCCGTGCTGTGAGCAATGATCAATGATTGCTGACCTCTACTAGCAATATAATGTAAATATAGTTGGCTGCACTTAATAGTTATAAATTCCAAGTCCTTTCCACTCTCTCAAAGCTGGGACTTCTCCGGACAGCAGAAGATTTCCAGGATAGCCCTCTGACTGCGTGCCTAACATCCATTCATCACACGCTGTGTTGGTTTATTGTAAAGCTGGTCAGGAATTCGCACAAATATTGTCAGTCTGTGGAAGGGAAGGCTGGAAAAATAAGCAGGGCTCTCGGAAATAGCTGCTGATAGGATCTCTTGCGTCAATTGGATTTTTTTTGGCCTATATTTAGGAGTCGGAATGAGCTCACAAATGAGGAACTACTTGGCGCATGAATAACTGAAATGACTTTGGTGACTCGGGGGAGGGCTGTGGCAGTGATGGAAACTGGTTTGAGGGCACCAGGGATTGGCTCCTCGGAGACGTGCACACACAAATGGCGCGCTCCTGCTCAGCTTTGTCTTTATTATTACATACTGAGAGAGAAAAGCTATTTAAACTGACTGAATATTAGTGCCAGGGAATGTCTATGTTCAATACAAGCTTGTGTTATGTTTATCTCAATTGGAAAGTTACTCAAAAAAACCAGACACTTTTTTTTATAAATACAATTGTGAGGACTTTCTGATTCAAATGATATAATTTTTTTGGAATTGTTAATTGTTATGGTACATTTTGCATCATTCTAGATAGGTTTAATAAAGAAAATGTGTCTTACTTTATACCTATACTTATTTGTTTTATTTTGTGGCTATCAATATCATGTGAAATTGTACTGATGGTTTAAAGGTGCACTATGTGACATTTCTAGTAAAGCCACCTGCTCGTGTCCATGGAGATATTATCGCTTTACCTCAAATTATCCACTGTATGGTATTAAACTTATCCATCTCCTGTAAAAGCCTGTAAAAGCCTGTAATTGAATAAATGCAAGGATGATGTCATAGTAGTTTAATGCCATTAGTAGTTTAATGCCGTACTTTGGAGTATTACAGGCAAAGCTTTAACATCTATGAGGCAAGCACCAGAAAGGATCCATAGTGCACCTTGAAGTGTACTGCATTAGATCAGTGAAAATAACATTTTGGAATAGGATAAACCCCCCTCTCCCTGTCCAACTTGTATATCCACCCTGTTTTCCACTGGTGAGTGTGCTGGGGTCACTGGTCACTATGTTTTTTCAGTCTTTTCATAATTAAATCACATCACAACTTGAGGCTTTAGGCTACTGACACCATGAGGTCACCATCTCACACCCAGTTCCAAACTAACCCTATGAAAATGGTGAAAAAAAAGAAAAATTGACTAATATTTTTACCAGAGAAAAATGATTTGTGAGTAGATTTGCTTGTTGCTTTAAGGGACAGGTCTTGATGCCTGATTTACCCAATGGGATTAAGCAGGGAGGGAGGAGAGGAAAAGGGAGTGAAGAATATGTACTAGCCCGGCTCTGAAACAACATAGTGAAAATTGCGAGACTAAACGACGAGGAGGGCAGGCGTGCTAAAAGTGGGTGCCTGTCTGGTCACGGGGTCGGCCGGGGTATGACGCAGATCGGAGCAATAACAAAAATATCTCCAGATAAACATGACTGAGTGGGGCTGGCCAATCTCCACAGGACCCCCGCGTCTCTGCCTCCGCTCCCCAGGCACGGGAGGCTCCGCATGGGACACGGGTCTGACGTAGAGCCCCTCCACCGCACTCCTCCAGGGGTTAAACAAAGACAAATGCCCGCCGCTCAGACCCCTCCCGTCAGCCACACTGCCCCGTGCTTAACCCCAGTCTATTCCTCCACTTCTCCCAGTCGCTCCGTTAGTTTCACTCGTCTGCCTCAGTCTGGGTTACCTCTCTTAACCTCTTCCCAGGCTTTATCTGCTCTCGCCTGACTTTTGGCAGACACTTTAACTGCTCAGATTTGAGAAGAGACAAGTAGAAGTGCTGAGAGGTGCAGATATCATAAAGCAAAGATCACATAGAGAAGTGATTCTTCAAGTGTTGAAAGAACTATTGGGTCAGCAGTCTCTCATTGTTCTTGAATATTGTCTTTTTAAATTATCTTTGGTAATATTTGACAAATTATATAATTTTCCGCTGTGCTGAAAGCAAAGTGTGAATGATATGAAGCAGCTACAGAGGACTCTTGGCTTCTTCTGATGTGAACTAGAGTAATGTAGTAGAACCTCTCTGCCCCGTTAAACCAAGACAAGAGCGCCCCCTTGTGAAGATGTGGAAAACAACATTCACAAACCGTCTACTTTTTCAGTTTTACAAACACATCTTTACTCAACACTGAGTAGAAAAGGCACTTCATCATTCATTAAAACTGCAGTAATCTCTCAAGCAGGGTTCATATTCAACACAAAAACAATTTGATTGTCATTTCCATCAAACACACTCGGAAAATAGCATGGAGCCTCCAGGCACCACACAGGGTTCACTGAGAGTGCACCAAGAGAACAGGAAGGATTTTAACTGCTGGGCCTTTCATGGGCCCCTCAGAGGCCAAAAGCCCCCACCACATCCATGTTTTACCTGATTCTCAGATAAATGTAACATTATGTAGACACGAGATCAAGGAGAGTGCATGTACTCACTGTGCTGTGGAAGACCACACTGTGGCCGTTGCCCACACTCTCGATGTGGGTTGCCAGGTTGAGACAGATGGCTCTGTGGCGGATTGCGTCCATCGTTTGGGCGTCAAAGAAGTCATGGGACGAGCTGGAAGAACACAGATTTTTGATATCTGAATAATTGTATCAATTATTTATGTTTCTGCATACACAAACACTGTTTAGTTTTATATGGAATAATAAAACACAAGATCAAGGAGAATAAAAAAAAATAAAAATAGGAATGAGCCATTCTCCCTACTTGGTGTATTTTGGTTTATATTTTGAGTCACCTGCATACCCATAACATAATAATATACTAATCTCATTCATGTTCAAGGAGGCTACAGTGAATCCTCCACATCACATTCACTAGTCATAAACGCCCTCCCAGTCTTCCTCTGCACCTTCTGTCAGTTCTTCTCCCCTTATAATCCTCACCTCTCCTATTTTCTTACATGTACATGAAACTAAAATGAGTGATACTTTCAGATACTTACGTAGAGAGCAGCGGCGTTTGTTCTTGAGTTTCTTCCTCTTGTTGAGGCCTGCTTTTGAAGGCGACTCCTCTTTGAGTTTGGCCTGACTGGACAGTTTGGAAGAGCTCTGTTGGCTGAAGTGACTCGGGACATGTCGAGCTAATCCTCCTTGGGATGCAAAGCTGGCATTGCAGCCTCCTACCACACACTGGGGAGAAACACATGCTGAGACAAGTATCTAGTACTATACAGCAAATAACTGTAGTAACAGAACTCATTTTTCATTGTTACTTTTCTGTAGTATAACTATAGTATTCAATAATAACTGAACTCCAATAAATTATCCACAGGTTCACATGGGTTTTCAAGAGGACACCATTATAATGAGTGGCAGCATGACTTAAAAATAAAAAAATTAAACACTGAAGGACACCGTTTTCTCATTAAGAGAGGAGACTATGGTGTCCACCATAGTCTAATTTTTGCCCCTGTAGTATAAGTAGTAAAACTACTTACACTTGTCTTAAACAAATAGAAGTAACTATATTTTATCTGTATTTAGTATTTTTTATCAGCAGAACCAAAACATGTAATGTATTCTTCATGTACTGAATTACATTATTAAAAAATTGATCACTTGTGCAAATATAGTCTCAGTACAAATAAATGCGAAACACTGGAAGGAGCATAGTGAAAAAGGTCAAAGTTGGACTGCACAGCATTTCTAGTGGAGGATCCACCACCTTCTTGTCTCCATGGCCTGAAATGTTCCAAAGTATGACATTAAACATCTAACATTTATTCATTACAGGTGTTGCTATTGCTCAAAAATACAATAATTCGTTCTGTCAATAGGGGTGACGCTCCACAGATCGGGACTGTAATGTACCGTAATGCTGTTACCTGCGACCTATCTACCTATGATAGATAGGTTTAATCTATACTGTGGAACATCCCAGACAAAGCAATAGCATTCCGGTGCAGATAAGCAATGCACTTTTAAGTAAACATAATGCATGGCTCTTTTGTCGTTTTTTCCAGTAGTTGCCAGAATATGAATTACAGGCTTTACTCTCTCTCATTCATATTTAATCCATGTACACCAAATGGCCAGTGATTGAGTGTTGTATTTACCTTGAAGGGTTTATCACCGCTGTGGGTTAGCATGTGTCTCTGGAGCCAGCTCTGACTTGTGGAGGGTGTGTTATAGACTTTACAGCCTTTCCACAGACACACAAACACCTACAGAACACACAAGCAATTCATGTTTATTACAATCTGCTCAAAAAAATAAATAATAAAAAAAATAAAAAATTCTAGACAATCATTTCAAAATACATTCTTGACACAAAAGTCCTAAAAGGAATTAAAATTACTTAAGATACTGTGAGCTGGATTAGTTAAAACACTCAAAGTGTCATGTGCAGACAACTGAAAATAAGAAATATAAAAACATGTCTTTCCTAATTTGAAATAACAAATTTACCTTGCTTTTGTTTTGCACAAATCATCATTATGTACCAAGATAATTTGTATTTTAGTGGCAGAGGTCTCAAACTTGCAGCAAAATATTATTTAAAACCACACCACGAAACTAGGCCTGTCACAATATGAAAAATGTGAAGAGAGCTATATTGCTGAAAAAATATAGACAATAAATTATAATATTGAAACAATTTAAATGTACAATTTTATAAAACAAAAACATGAGCTGCAAGAAATAAATAGCGGAAGGAAACACTTAGTTATTTTCTATTTATAATGAGTCACACAAGTTATTTTTCTAGAGAGTCGAATAAATATAAGAAAAGTTTCCCACGAGTACAAAGGAAAAGTGCTCACGATAAATATTAACACTCAAAAGTTATTATTCCACTATTCATTCATTCATGAACAATAAGTAGCACTTAGGTGTAACTTTCTGGAAGGGGCATGTCAGATGTTAGATTGTAAGGAAAATATAGGCACAGAAACAAAGATGATGCAAGCCTGTTCAGGGATATTTTTCTGTGTTTTTAGTTCAATTAAAAAACATCCAAAATGCATAAAGTATTCTTAGTTAGTATTCTAGTATTTTATGTTTTTTGGCCAAAAGATTATGTGATGAGACTTTTAAATTTTAAATACATCTTAACACTGAACCATTTCAAATTATTATACTGTATGTTTCCTGTGTATTGTTAATATTAAAGGTGCATTGCGCAGATTTCCTGGTGGAGGGTCTGTCACCTGCTTGTCTCCATGGAGATGTTATTGCTTTGCCGGGAATGTTCCATGGTATGACATTAAACACATATAGCATTGATTCGTTAAGGGTGTTCCTCTTGCTCAAAAATATAATAATTCTCTCTGTGAATAGGGGCGACTCTCCACAGATCTGACCTATACTGTAGCCTATAGTTGTATCCCTAGAGATACATAGGTTTAATCGCTACTGTGGAGCATTCTAGACAAAGCAATAATATCTCCACGACGACAAGCAGGTGACGGGCCCATAATCAGAAAACTTGAGCAATGCATCTTTCATATTTACAATTAGTTTAATCAGTGATGACAGCGTGTGGCACCATTTTAATTTGTTAGTTAAAAATACAGTGACATGAAAATACTGGACATGACCCCTGCTGACTTACAGTTTGAGACCCCTGCTCTGAGGTCTTCATACTGACCCCTCCTCTTTGCCCGTCTACGTGAATGCCCCGGATGTGCTCGGCCAGGTCAGGGCTGGAGTTGAAGTACTGCGGGCACAGGTCCCAGCAGCACGGGTACGCCACGTTCTTAGGCCCGGACGAACCAGCGCTGCCCTGGCCGTTCATCATGGCCGGAGTGGAGCGCCCGCTGGACACTGTGCTCTCCATCTCCATCAGAGTACTGCTAATACTGAGAGGCAAAGAAAATATCACAGTTAGACAGGAAGCCCAGCCAGCAGTGTAATCTTTATGGTGGATGAGGCCTTGTACATTCATTAGTGACAGGTGCAGACAGGAGCAGACACATTAATAGTCAGGGTGCGTGAAAGCTGTTAGACTTTTGGACTTCTGCTGATTTTTCATGCATGCCACAGAGTCTGCCACTATTTGCACTGCTGCTTCCATGCAAAACTCAGCACTTTCTATTCTAAAACCCAACAATTATTATTTTGTGTCCAATTAATTCTTGATAAGCATGTTCAATGTGTTATAATCTAACTATTCACCAAGCAATGACTTATTCCATCTGCATTCGGAACAGATAAGTTATGGAGGATTGTGTACAGTATTACATTTGTTCCACGCATGCCACTTAAGTATGAAATTGACCTTTACGCATTTGTTGTAGAGAGACAGATAGTTGGCACTGTAGCTTTAATGTGCCGTAAAAAACAACTTGCAGCTGGATAATCTCACTCATTATTACTAATACGCTACCACAACGGAAATACAGCAATTAAGCGCAGCCCTTTAGCACATTTATGAGCTTATGTTACGAGCACATTCACTAGACTAGACCCACCTGTCCTCGGAGTCCATACGGCTCAGTGGTTCTCCGTCCGAGGATGAGATCTCGACACTTGGCCGCCTCTTGTCACCGATCTCCCCGCCTGCGCTGCTGGATTTCTCCCCGTCCTCCCCTTTGCTCTTCTCGCAGTCCATCACCTCCTCGCACCGGTTCTCCTCTCCGGGCTCCTCTTTCGCTTCTTTCGCGGTGTTTTCGTTAGCAGTCGCATTGTTTTCTATTTCCTGCGGCTCTGATTTAGTGTTCACAGGTTCTTCCGCGGGGGTGATCGCTTCAGGTGCTTGGCCGTCTTTCGCTGGTTCGTTTGCGGCCTTCTCTCCCTCGGTAGCGGGCTCCTCTTCACCGGCCTCCGCTTTTGGTTGTGCGCTCTCGGGTTCAGCGGTGCGCCCTGCCGCCTTCTCTTCCGGTGCGGATGGGTCTTCGCCTTTCGCCGCTCCTCCGTCCTCCTCGGTTGTTTTCTCGGGTGGGGAGTCCTTCTCTACACCATCCGCGGGAGCTTCTTCGGAGGCGGTAGCGGACATTTCCACGGCGGCCATACCGGTGGATAGTTTGGGTGTTGAATCCGTCAGACGCCTGCAGCAGACGGGGAGCAGAGCGCACAGGCTGCGCGGCCGCTCATTGGTCAGGGCTGGGGGGAAACTGTGATGTCACTGCTTGAACTTTCCATGTGTTTCCGACGGAGATCTTGTGTTTACTACAATTATTCACAACACAAGCCTTATAAACATAAAAGCAAACTAATTACGGCTGAAAAATGTAAATCAAACACAATTTAGACGTCATATTATTACTGCTTACAGTCTTACTATAACATGGGCCATATAACCTAAATAAATATAAACTTTTATTTGTTATAAAGGTGCTATTGCAGAAGCGCTTTATTTTATATTTTACTCCAATATTCCATACTATTTAGCAGTCTAGAAATCTAAAATAAATAAATAACTTTTTATGTACTGGCAAAAAATGACCACAAGATGGAGCTATAGCTTTACAGTTAATCCAACCTCAAGCTCTGCGCAGTGTAGACCCTTTAAAGGTTTGTAAACAAATACATTCTGGTGGAGTGGAGGCAAAAGTGAAGTGGAACATAATGTGATTACAATGTTGAAACAGGGATTAACAGGAGATTATCAGAAAAAAAATACATCAAGGAGGGATTGGCAACACTCAGAGACATTTAAGTGATATCAGAGCCATATTTATTCTTAATAGTTAATTTAAGGAGATTATAATAGATACTATGAAAAAGCTTCTTATTAAGTAGCTCGCAGTAGGTTTTTTTTTATTTTTTTTAAATCTATGGATACTTTCCATCCTTTGGAATAGCTAAGCAAACCAACTAACTTTTCTACCTAGTAAATTCAAAATTTACTAGGTTTATTAGCATTTAGATGTGATGTCAGTTAATCCTTGAAAATGTGTAGTATTTTTAACAAACGATAGCCTATAACATTCAGATTTTCTAATATATTGTAAATAGTATTGCGCTTATCTGCCTCCATTAAGCGCTTACATCAATAAACCATTCACACGTACACATAAATAATAATACTAAAAGTCTATGCACACACTGGAGGCAAGGTGAGATAAGTGTCTTGCCCAAGGACACGACAACAGAATCCATTAGCTCTCCAAATTCATAAATATTAGTAGAAACTGTATAAAATATTAAAGACCTCAAGTCCACAGCTGTTTAAAGAACAAAAACATTTATTTAACATGATATAAAACAGATGGGATATGAACATTAGCAAATCATATCTTGAATGTAACCATAGAGTGGATACATCGCCCCATCCTGTTGCACAATTGTACATTATATACACTGTAAACCTCTGGTAATTACACTTTGTACACACAAAAGGAAGGCCTGGATTCACACACTTCTTATGTTATTGCTTCTTACATGTGCTAAGTACCTTTTCTCTTTAAATTTCCAGGGCATCAAACTGATAAGTTTTAAAATAGAACAGATTTTTCTTCCTTAAAGTTTAAATATATTCCTTTGCATTTTAAAAACAGTATAGACTATGTTCAAAACATTCAGATACTCTATTGGCCTGCAGAAAATCATTTTTAAATACTTACATACCAAATAACAGTCTGCAATAGTAATATATATGACACCTCCTTATTTATAATGGAGGCAGTTATGACTTTACACACTCTATTTGTAGTGAGTGTTTTGGTTTTTTACAGTGACTAGGGGAAATTATGACATATTTATCGACACAAATTTTAAAGCATAAATACTATAACGGCATCAGAAGCATGTGGGAAACGTTTAAACCAATCAAACTCAAATAAAACTCTCAAAACAGTCGCAATTCTGTCACAATAGAACGTAGTCCTTCATCCTCGTATAGAAATGTATATACATACAAAGTCAGATCATATTTTCAAACAGGAACGGAGAATATAAATAAATGAAACTGCATGAAGGATGGGGAAGGCTGTGGGTTATAGGGGGAGTAGTGTAGAGTTAAAGATGCACTATGTACGTTTTCTGGTAAAGGGCCTTTCAGTTGCTTGTTTCCATGGAGATGTTACTGCTTTACCTGCAATGTTCGAAAGAATGGTATTAAACTTGTCATTCTTCATAAAGGCAAAGAGTAGATGCCACCAGGCCAATTTACAGGTGAGATCTGTGAAGAGGCGACCCCACTCAGTCAGAATGCATGCTGTTGAAGGTGTTTTTGAGCAATAAAAACACCCATAATTGAATAAATGTATCTTATATAAGTTTAATACCATATTGAAGAACAGTACAGTCAAAGCAACCTGAAAAGTTACACAGTGTACCTTTAAATGAACAGTGTTAAAATAAGAGCTCTAGATGTCACAGTGGGCGAACAGCGGATGGTTCACTCTCTGTAAGCCACGGCCACGGTACTGAGGGCGAGCTTCATGTGTAGGTTTTAACTGAAGCCAGTGCCTGTGCTGCACAGAGAAGAAAACTCAAGTCAAATTCTGCTTACATTTATAAATCATCAGTAGACAAGGCATGCATAAACACATAAACAGTTTGAGTACTGTGGCGTCAAAGTGATTAGATTCAAGTAAATTGTGTACCTAATAATTTGTTTTTGTAATAATGTTTGAGTAAAAAATATAAACAAGTGTAAAGTAGAATGAATCTGCTCAAACATATGTACTTCTAATGCTACCATCACTACTACTACTAATAATAGTACCATAATATGATGACTACTACTTTAAATAGTTAGTGTTGGCAATTTTTTACTCCGAAATATAGATTAAAAGCGCAGTCTGTAACTTTTGTTGTGGAGGCAGCTGTCTCCATTGAGGTGTTATTGCATTTTTGTCACTTATAGAAATTAATTAAATAAATGTAGACTTATTTGTTTACACCTCTGTCCAAACATTCCAACTAGTAAAACAATAGTATTTCAAATAAAATTTCAAATTTCCATGCTCAAAATGTATCTTGGTTAACATGCATTTTTCATCCTATTCATCTATTTATTTATTTTTTTTCTATTCAGACTTGCACAGGACATATTTACAACACAAGATAGTGAGTAGTGGCAGATAATGAAGTCCCTTACTGGTGTTATTACACACACATGAAGTGAGACCCATCTATGAGCTGAGGGGGTGAGTTAGGAGACTGGGGTGGGGAGGAGGAAGACAGGCTCCTCACTGCAACAAAATAAAGCAACACTCAGGCACATGGAAATCAACAAGTACATTCACAAACCAAACTACTAATTAAATGAGCAAACAACTTAAAATAGAAAAAGAAAGTTGCTAAAAAAATACTACAGTGAGTTAAAGTTGTAAAAGAACTGTGTGACAGCTTGAACAATGGGAGCAGCGGCACAGCATTCAGATAAAACACAATGCAAGGTGTGTGTCTCTAGGGAATACCTGCTACAAGTTTGCTGCGTTTCGAGGCTTCGGCTGCGATTTCATAAGAGATATTAATCATTTTTTCCTTCTCCTGGATCGTCACCTCCTCCTCTGTCACATCCTCTGGGCTTAGAGCGAGACTCGGCAGCACATTTTGCATGCTGTAAGAACAAGCACAACAAAAAAGTTTTCTGTCATTTGCTGTGACCAAGATTAATTATAAAAAGAGTTTACTCCAGGACAAAATTCTATCAAGCAGATGACATTTGAAGTAAAATGTCGTCTGAGAGATAAAAAATGAACTTTAAATTAATCATAAGACAATCTGCTTTGAAAACACAGGCAGGATATTTTATTTCCCAATGTTGACGTTTGGCCTCACGATGATTACAATGTAAATGAGATGGAACAGATTGAATATTTATTGGGGGGTTAAAATGGATTGTGAGTACCGTAACTTTTCTTTGCACTAGTGGGGAAATTGTTGTTATTTTTTGGTTATACAATAAGATTTGAGCTGTTGAGGTCTGAATAAATAAATCCTAATGGTGTTTGAGGAGTCAGGGTTACTTGCAAAATCTATGGGGCTAGGCTCATCCAGCATTTTCGCGACAGTGCATCCTGAGCATAATGGCAAAATTCACACCTCATCATGTTCCAACCGCCTGCCCTCAAATGAAAAGGCGTCTGTCTAACTAAAGGTTTTTGACGCAATTTTGACACTGCGGTGTGAATGTAGCATATGACTCATTATAGATACTAACGATGAACTAAAATGATTCATTCACATTTTTTACTTGCAGCTCAGTTTTTTGATGATAGTGTAGGTTTAGACTATTTAGAGTTATCCTGCAATGGCACAAAGTAGTTTCAATATTATCTGATTAAAATATGTTGTGTATGAATATGTTCTGTGATAATATTTCACACTTCAAAACATGATATTGTGACAGGTCTAGTTGAAGTCCTGCCATGACCCCAAACTTACCTTTCACTTATGAAGAGAATTTCATGCATGACAGCTAAGGGAAATATCAGTGCTCTGCTCCACAGATAGGCCCTTCACAGAGGCTGCTTCTCAGATATCAAAGGCGGTCTCAAGCAGAGGGAGGCTGTCTACACCCGTAGGAGTCAGTGGACGGGCCAATAGTGTTTACCTGTTTTTGGCGATGAGGGCTTTGATGCGGTCCACTTTCCTCTGCTTATCTGCCTCCTGCTCTGGACTCAGCGCCTCTTCTGGCTCCAGCTCCACGTATCGCTCGGGAATCAACACTTTATCGGGCACAGAAAGCTGCAAGAGACACACAGAATAATAATAGTGGGATTCATAACAAATGCTACAGTCACTATTACTGGGGCCTATTCATGTGAAAAAACTGACACAAAGTTTAACATATCCCTATCAGCTTAAATGAACACAAGTTTGTGGAGAAAAACTCAAAAAACTCAACTAACCCCCCCGATGACAAGACTCCTAAATTAAAGTACAGCTGTCACTGAGTTCACAAATTAACTTTTATAAAAAAAATTACAACAAAATATTGAGGTGGTGTAATCCTTTATTCGTCCATGAGTGGTCCATGGTAAAAAAGGTTTCAGAGGTAGTCATGTGGACACTGTTTTTGAGATCAAGAAACTGCCCTGCCCTTGAGGTTAGCTTCTGGCTGGGAGCCGAAATGTCTAGATTTCAAAAACAGTGTCCAGATGACTACATCAGAAACCTTTTCTACAACAAAATAATGATTTGTTGTACTTTTATGATGATTATGTAAACAGATTTCCATAAAAAAAGAAAAGAATCTTTTAAGAAATACCTGTCAATACACCGGGAAATTTTACTGAAGCAATATGTGCAAACATACCCCAACTTCAACAGTAAATACCACAGAGACCAGTGCATACCAATACTGTCTGCAGTTACTTGAGGCTCTTTCATATCCTTTGTTTTTACCTTGTGTTTTTCTCAGAATGACAGGTTACATAACAAAGACTTGTTATTGTAGTGCTAAGATTGCTAAGCTCCCTTACCTCTCTGTCCACATTGAAGTGCTGAGTGAGAGAGGCTTCTTTGAGGCGGGCTATCTCCTCTGCAGGGGTCTCTTGCTCCCTGTCCTCCTCCTGCTGTCTCAGAGAAGCCTCCAGCTCCTGAATATCACAGCTCACCACATCATCCCTGCGCCGCCACTGGAGACAAGACAGAAAAAAACATCAAGAGAATATGTAGAATATGTACAAGCCGTGAGTAGGTTTCAGATGAAATCCCAACACTTCATATGATGTTGTGAGATACAGGTATAATTCATATTGTTAATCAAATTTTTGATTGTAGTATGGTGAGATCATGGTTATTGTATGTTTTACATCAATCACTGACAAATGTGTCCTCTGCAGGCCTGGTCATAACAACAGGCCTAGACAAACTAACTACCCTATTGTCCATTTGTTAAGGTCATGTTGCATTATTTGTGTATTTTTCTTTCTGATATTTATTTTGTACAGTACAAATACAGTACATTAAAAATAAGGTTAAGGTTTATAGTTCCTGTACGGAAAGTGTCCTCTGCATTTGACCCATCCTTCAATGCCACTGGGGCATCTCCTCAGGGAGCAGTGAGCAAGAGACCCATCTCCAGAACCTTGGAGGAGTCTACCTGTTTTGCTTGTTTTGGGTTGGAGCTGGCAGTGCGTATAACAAAATTCAGTTATTTCTGATCTTCAGTGATTATGCTTAAGTCGATTTAATTGAGAGGCCCCCAGCCAATACTGTTAGCAAAAGCATAAGAGGAAGGAAGAAATTTAGCATTTTTTGTGTGTTAAATGGCAATTATTAACAGTCTGTATTGTTCATGTTCAGGAAAGACATTTAAGTTTTTTAATAAGACAAAATAAGGTCTACCAATCAAAAATGGTCACTGATCAATATGGTTTTAAAAAATAATTTCAGCCCTAAATCAATATTTATGAATAACATTCACGCATAGGAAAACAGTCTAAATAAACAGCTTGTTCACAGCACTTGGAGCTCACAGCATCTCTGTATAACACTCGGACACTGGCTGGATACCTGCGCGTTGCGGACATGGTTTTCTTTAGTGAAGGACTGGCTGCGTGTGGGTGTGCTCTCCTGGCTGCCTCCCGTACACCGCATACTCTGACTCTTCTTTTTCCCTTGCAGCGCCGCCTGCTGGTGACGCCTGATCCTCTCCAGCTGCTCCTCCACACTCATCCTGGGCCGCCCACTGTCACCCGTATTGAGCTGCTGCTCCACTGCACTGCGTGGACGCTCCTGTTGGGTAAAGAGGGAGATATATATTAAAATATGAATACTTAATATGATTGATTTGTGCAATTTTGGTGTTTATTTTTATAAGTGAGGTGCAACAAAATCTTTCCAAAAAATAACAATCTAGACCAGGTCACAAAGTTAAAGGTGCACTATACATCTTTTCTGGTGAGAGGGTCTACCACTGGTTATCCCAATGGAGATAGTATTGTTTTACCTAACATATTCCACAGTATGGCTTTAAACATGTGGTACCTATCTCCATGGTTACAAAAAAAGTAACACCACCAGGCCAAGTTACTTGTCTCTGGAGAGGTGAGGTGCTTTTCAAGATATTTTCTTAATAATAATTGAATAAAATAAATGACAGATAGATAATTTCAATGCCATACAATAAAATCTCCATGAAAAGAAGCAGGTGACCAAAACGCTACCAGAAAAGTTATATAGTACACCTTTAACAGAGTTTCAAGAATTACTGTAAAAATTGTTACTTTGTAAAAATGGTAATAAAACTGACCAGACTGTCAGCGCTGTCTGACCTCTATGCCCCTTACTTTATTTTTAAACCAAGTCAATTTCAGTCGGCCACAACCTACAAGGAGTGCCCAGCTGATTTGTGAATTTATTTATACACTGTTTTGAAGTAATTACCCTAAATATAGGCAGTCTTAAAAGAGGCACACCCTGTGGTTCGCTAATAACACAGGCACTCTGAAAAGTTGATAGAAACTGAGGCTGGAAACTGTAAACCAACCGTAGCAATTTTATTATAGCCTGGGTTTAGCATGTGAGTCACACCCAGACCATGTCACTAGTGGATCTGTTTTATACAAGTTTTAAAGCATTTTAAGTAAAACGTGTACTAGGGCTCAGCAATGAAAAAACACACAAAAAACAAAACGCTTGTCAGCTTCCAGAAAACTAGACAGAAAGCCTTAAATATGAACTGACAAACTATCAGAACAAGTAAATTTCAGAACATGTTTGTACAGATCTAAACAAAAGAGCAAGAATTCTGATGCAGCATAACACAGGACATTTTGTAACTTTGTACTTCAAAAATTGCAGCGTTTGCGATTAATCTTGCAGCCATTAAGTGTACTTACTTTAAATGCATCTGATATAAGACAAAAGCATAAATAATAATTTATCTAGATTTACATTTTTTTATGATTTATCTAAAACTCACTGTTCTTGAGTCTGGCCTTTTTCCTTTCCTCAGTGTTACATAGGAGGCGATGGAGGAGGAATCGGGCACAGGAGACTTGGTCCTAGGAGGGACGATGCCAACCGGGTAGGACATCCCTAAAAAAAGCAAAATATTTAGTTTAAAACAAATAGCTGCTAAATGGATTTGTTACGCAGTATTTAACAATTACTCCACTCAATAAAACCAATGGGGCATTAGGGGAATAGAGGCACCTTTGTTTCCGGAGTGGTCTCTCTCAGATGGGTGCTCAGACCGGTCCTCTCCGTTGCTCTCATCCACCTCAGTCACTGTGGTGAGTTCAGGTTCACTTTTGTACAGTCGGTAATCTGTACCCTGTCAACATAAGGTTATAATGAGACTCACTATATGCTGCAAAAATATAATTTAGTGTAACACTATTTATCCTGTCTGGTCAAGGGTCCGCCCACCTGCTTGTTTCAATGGGGATGTTATTGCTTTGCCTAGAATTGTTCACAAAATCATATTAAACTTAATTAATTAAATGTCTACGAAAATACCTTAAAAAGACCATTCTTACTGTGAATGTGCTCGCTTCTCTACAAATCTGACCTGTAACCTGTGACACCTTTTTGGCTGTTTAACATTCTAGGCAAAACCTTTCTGAACATTTTCATTTCCAGAGAATTAGGTGGCGGACCCTTCACTGAAAGTTACATAGTACACCTATCCATGAGTTACAAAATGACGAAACATTAGCACTAATGTCATAAACAATTTGAAACAAAATATTTTATCTTCTGAATGGGGAAAAAGAGCTCTAAAGGTTGGATGTAACAGCAAACTGAAACCCATGAATGTAGCATAAAAAACTGGTTATTTTTTAAACCAAAACATGCATGCAACTTTTACATGACTTTTACATGAGAAAATGCATACAAAAGTCAAAACAGCAAAACTGGTCACACTGAGAAAAAAAATATATATATATGGGAAAGACTTCCAGAGGCTCTGATCATGAAAATAAAAAAGGACAATCCAAAGTATAATGCCAAACTGAAAAGTGAAAGCGTTAACAAGGGGCCAGTGGGTAGTGATGACAGCTGAGGGCAGGGTGGACCTTAGGGGGCTTACAGCGTGCGTGCCATTCCTGTGCGGGGCCTTCCTGTCCTCGGGCCGGTGTAGGGAGCGAGTGGAGGGCACAGGGGTGGAAGGGTTGGGCTCGTAGGACTGAGGGAGGGGTGGCCGGGGGGGCACCGAGTCCTCCTCCTCCTCCTGGGGATTACACAGGGATGACAGGGAGCATGGTGACACATTGTGCCACACGCTAGGGGCAACCATCTGCTACAACAAAGCTCTGAGCAGTGTGCACCAATCCTAGCAAATCAGCTGATTAGAGAGACTGACATCCAGGCAAAACAACAGCCAACCTTGTGTAGGTCAGTTACTTTAGTCATAATGAGTATGAGCGTGTAATTGTATCACATAGGTCTTTAGGAGATACAATTTAAGGGGAAAAAAATCTACTTTAGAATTTGCCCTTAGGTCAAAGCTTGTAATCTTTCCAGATACATGGGGTATTCTAGGCCTCAAGTTTGTGGACACAATCACTAACAACATTTGGCAAAGTTCAATCACAGCATATTTTTCCATTTCTGTTCAGTAGTTTTGGCTGGTGTCCTCCATAGGAGTTTTTAACATTCTTGAAGACAAAGCTATTTCTGTATTAAAAAGTTATTTCTCAAACAATTCCAACTTAGTGGCTGTAACTTTGGCTTTTCAGTAAAATCCCACATATTTACTGATAACCCACCTCATTTTTGTGCTTGCCGAAGTTGTTCTTGGCTCCGTGGACGCCCGTGCCGTCAGCCACACTTCTCTGAGCCTTTTGTTTGTTGAGCGCCTCAATCACATCTTGAATCCTCCACAGCTCCTTCTGAATGTGCACATGCTCCTGACTTGGGGGCTCCATCTGAATAAATACACCACATACGCATCCATAAATAAAGTTTCCTCTTATGTAACTTTATAAGGCAAAGATCTGAATACCAGGTGAATATGTGCGGTAGGTACGTAGAAAACACTGTGTGGAAGAAAAACGGTGTATGATAATAATTTAAAAATATGAATTATTTAGACAATGGAGTGTGATTTTCAACATTATTGGTTGAGCGGTCAGATCCACAAAGTTGACACTGTGAATCCAGCTCCCACAGACGGATACTGTCATTTTGTCCTCGGGCAAAACACTTAACCCCGCTCACCACCAGTGTCTCTGTGTTTGAAAGTGTGTGAATAGGTGAGTGGTTCCTTGAAGAAAAGCGCTTTGAGTGCCTGGAAGGTTGAAAAGTGCTATATAAATGCAACCATTTATTTACTTTATTTTATATTACCGTGTGGTCTTATATCTGTGTACTCCCTCATTTGTCCAGGGTTAGGTAGGTAGATTCCAGTGCTTTTATACTTGTTCTGATACAGCTCAAGATAATTCCAAAGCTACTCCGGAAAGATTCATTTCTGTCCTGTGAATGTGACTTTTTTAGTATAGATACCTGCTCATTGACATCCCATACAAAGTGCTTATATTGCAAAATAATAACTTTAATGCTTTAATTTAATGCTACGCTGTGGAACATTCCGGGCAAACCAATTACATCTTCATGGAGACAAACAAGTGACGAACCATCCATCAGAAACAGTTACATACATACATGCACCTTTAAAGAGCACATATTACACGTTTGTCTACTATATAAAATGTGATTTCTTTTTTTTTTGACTAGAAAGCTTAGTACTTGCACACACTTGAACAAGCTCTCCACCTCCACACTTTTTTCCATTATGAAAGGCACAGATAAAACAGAGTTAATTAAGAAGACCTGCGCCATAATTCCTGTGTCGTCAGTTGTCAGGTTTCTTTGAATTCTCTGTTACTCCTCCGCACAGTGCATTTGAGGCCACCAAACGCGCTCGCAAACATAAAAAAATGCTTTGCCTGACACATTTCTCTCCTGAGTGTTGATGACTGTTTTGCGTATTTTCAGGTGTTTGTGAGAATTCTAAGCATTTGCATTCCAAGTATAAATGGAAAAGATTTAAGTAGTTAGGTATAGAGAGAGTTATAGTACCTGAGGGCTCCCGAGTGCTTCGAGCTGCTCCAGCAGACTGCTCTTCGCCTGAACCACCTCTGCCTCCAGTCTGTCGTATTCTTTCCAGGACCGCTCCAACTCCTGGAGAGAGAAAGGTAGACTCATGAATCACAGCATGAGAGATATACTGATGCTCACTGTGTAGGTGGTAAAAGTTTAAAAGTTTTAAACAAAATTGATGTCACAGAAACATAGATCTGATGTACTGATGTACCAAAGATCTGATGATCTTTGGCTGAGGGATTAGATCATGATCATATTGGTGTTGAGTATTTCCTGACTGATGTAGGCCAAGGACATCTCATAATGTTTGAATTTTCATTCACACAAAGCTGCTCAATAGTTACCTGCAGCATAAATATTTACAAACCACAATTTGATCCATTTTGTAATAAGTTAAAATGTGTTTTCTGGGGGGAAAAAGGCACTTCACTGGTATTTGTTAATATCGATTATTAACTGATACTTCAAGCCACTATATCGACACCGGCACTGGAGCTGAAAAAGTTCCAATCACTATTAAGTTTATCTCTGGCTTTTCCCTTAAAAGAATGTTCTTCCTGGTTTACTGATCTTATAACTATGAGGTAATAATAGGAACATTTTAGAAGCAAATAAAAGTAATTTAAGGTCAATCTATTCTCCACAACATAACCCTGGTTACATTGCAACATAATTGTTTTTCGTGCGATATCAATTATTGCGTAAATTTTTGCAATATATTACACAGTCCTAACCTCTGTTATTTAACATTGTGACATCCCTAGTCCTGATTTTCTAGTTAAGACTTTGTGTAATCCTGGTTCTCTGCTGTACCCTCCTGCTTTAGCATGTGGTTTTTGATCTGTACAGTATAGCGTGAGTAACTTTATGTGGTCCCTGCACTAGATAAATGGTAAAGGAGATGATGTAAGCGTTACTGACCGTGCTGACTCGGGACAGTTCTCGGCAGGTGCTGAGGAGGCCACTCTGCAGTAAGTCTCTCTGCTGGATGACACTCTGCAGAGCTGTGGGGTTATCTGAGCCCATCTCGATCTCCTGACTGGCCGACAGCAGCGCCGTCTCCAGGGTGTGCTAGAGGAGAATATATAACATCAGAAACACACGCGAGCTACACACAGACATTTATCACTGCAACCTTCAGCTTTGGCTAACTTAAGTATAAGGGCTAAGCGAACCGAAGGAAGGGACTATTAAACTTTTCAAGGCTGCAGCCCTGTTAAACTGAAAGTGAGTTATGTACGACGGTAGCTAAGCAAAACACAGCATACACAGCATTTTGTATAGCGCTTGGAAGCTCCTATAAAGTCCACAATTTCTATTACATATGGGTGTTGTCTGAATTGGTAAAAATATTCATGGATTTTAGCTTCCTGTTCCTGTGTTCACAAAAAATATATTAAAAACAAATTCACAGCGAGAAAACACACAGAATTACCATATTTATCTTCAAGTTCCTGTAATATACAACATTTTAAAGAGTTTTCCCCCTTCAAACTATATAATATTTTGTCGCTATGGCAATGGTCCTAATTTTTTTTTATCATGAAACTGGGAAAATGTGTGAATGTTTTTGCAAAAGTGTTAAATATATTGATCTTAATTGTGTTTTAGTAAAATGAGTAGTCTAACCTGACACCTGTGCATGTTTATGACTTGATAAAAAGCAAAAAATAGAGTAGAAAGTACACTAAATAATGTGTAGCGGTTCACTAAACAACCATGCCACTGTAGCTCATTCCTCATGCTCTGTGGGTCTTTCATGTTGGAGGCAGTTGTGACAGATGTGCTGTGGTTAGTCACCTTCTCTCTGTACAGCTGCTGCAGTTTGCTCTCCTGAGTCTTCACCACTTTGTCCTGCTCACACAGTCTGCTCAGTCTGGCCTGCGGAGGGAACGGACCAATAGTCACCATCCGCTATGCAAAAACAAGTCCGGGTTAAGTCATGTGTGAAATCTGTGTCTGTGTGTGCGCTTACGTCAATGTCCAGCTCTTGTGGCGCTGGGGTGTAGACCTGCTCCCTGTAGTCATCTGGACTTAACTGTGGAGAAGTAGACAATATTAGGGTAAAATACAGACTTACAGATTTGCAATGCAACTTTTTTGGTGAGGGGTTGGGCACCTGCTCGTCTCCATAGAGATGCTGTTGCTTTGCCTGAAATGTTCTAGCACAGACTGTATATAAATGGACATAACTAATGTGATAGGCCCCGTGTTCCAAATAGGAAGTTGGCATGTGGGCTCTTCCGGCTCCTTCTGACCCTCGCTCCCATTGGCTCACATTGGAATATTGTCACCATTTTCTCTGTAACTGCTGCTGTGAGACTTGTCATTTTGGTCTTAAAATGTTCCTACAATGGTCCTGGTGTATTTGTTTTTTTTTCACCATTCCGTTAAAAAACCCTAGTCATAATATACAGCCTGGCCTGAAATTCACTCCTATAGCCAATCATCTGAGCGGAGCTGAACACTATGGGTGACTTCACACTCACTTAGTCCACTTTTTTATACAGTCTATGTGTTCTCCTTAGCATTTATCTCATTTCAGGTTACATTACACTTATTGTGTCTGTCGCCACTCCACAGAACTGTAGCATGGACGGATGCTTGTTGCCGTGAAGCTAAATATGTTTAATGCCATATTGAAGAACATTCAAGGAAAAGCAATAACATCTCCATGGCGATAGACAGGTGGTGGACCCTCCAACAGAAAAGTTATAGTACATCTTTAGAGTACACTTTGGATAAAAGGGCTTTCACACAAGCTTCTAAGAAATATAATTTAAAAATGTATCTTATGTACAGCATCTGGCACATGGAGATTTATGACCCACAGTCATTCTTCCTGTCACAGCGTGTTAGAGTATAGCAAGAGAAAAGCCTGTAAAAATAATGTCAGCTGGTGCACAATTTTACTTGTTCTGTATGTGATGTGGTTATTTTACATTATACAAATCCATTTACAAGGCTTAAGACCAGCAAAAAGTCATGTATTACATATTCCATTATTTACATTAAGACATGTAGTATTTCCCAAATCTCACACAGGACTATTATCACAGTTATCGATCAACATTATGATGTTTTTTGACACTGTAAGGAAGGCTTCAAGAGCTAGTACACTGTAAAAAAGTGTTTTTTTAAATCATAATCCTGTGGTGTAGTGTGGTGTTAGTACTAAGTAAAAATTAATATTTTTTAAGTTTTAGTTCAGATAACAGCAATTTTATTACAAAATTAGTTGAGGATTATAGAAATTGATTAAATAATTTCAGTCAATAGTTGCTTCTTAATATCAGCTGCACTAAAACTGAGCAAAAGCAGTACTTATTGTAACATGCAATTTTGAGACATTTGAGATTTCAATATTGCCACCGTTTCTACTGTACGCCCCACTCACACTTGCACCCATTCAGTCCGTTCTCCGGATGAGAGCCACCCAGCCACACAGTGAAAGCAGAAGCACCCATAGGACCATGTGGCATTCAACAGTAATGAACATGCACAACATTATAGCACGGTTCAGGATCTCAGAGTGACGTGTACAGTGTGGGGAGCAGGACTACAGGGAGACACCACGGCAGCTCAAACAGGTACTGGCAGTGCAGCTGGTGTTTAGCTGAATGCCAATGGAGAGGTGAAGGTGGCCGCACTTTTACACCCCGGAGCATGGTCACAAAAGTGGCAGTGATGTGAGGGACGGCAGCGCGCAAACACAACCCCCGCTAATCTTCTACAGCAGCAAAGGACTTAAGAAATACTCACAAAGAAGTAATTTTAAAATATCATACTATCTTTTTTTTCTGTTTCTCCTTACCCACCTCTTGTATTTAACCCAGATATATTTTGTGTGAATTAAGCACTTTTCTCAACTTTTAATGGCCAAAATGAAGTCATAATGATGCTAACATCAGCTAGCATGCTAACAGCACACTTCCTGGTTCTCTGAGGATTCAGACAGCACATTTTGACAAGAGCTGCTTTTACAATATATCTGTACTGGCAAAACTTTGCTTTATAACATAAAGAAATGGCAAAATCCTTTATTAATTAGATAATTGTATATGTGCATTATAATTTGGTATATTTTATTTCATATAGCATTGTATTTGCACAGGATTGGGACTGGTCAGTGAGGGCTTGTGAATGTTTTGAGTGCAAATCTAGCTTTATTTACACCATGAAGTTGCAGCTTTAACAATGAATTAATAAACCTTTTTGTTAATTCATTAACAGTTGATATCAAAATACGGAATTCAATAAACATCCCTAGTATTTGAGTTATAATATTCAGTACTACTTCCATGGAATAATAAGTGTCTGTAAAGTCTTTACCTGCCAAGTCCAGGTGGCTTAGAGAGGAAAGCGGAGTTGGACAGATGATAAAAACTCACTGACCTTAACAGAGAAGCCCATAGACTAAACAAGAGCAGTGTGCCAGATTCAGTCCCAAAGCTAGCCCACATTTTAAACTTTAAATACTACTGCAAAGAAAACCGTATCAAGCCCCTGCACACAAACCCGGGGGACGAGGGATTTCAAAGTGAGGCGAACACACTGACAACATCTTCAAAAACAAGTCATGCTCAACAGTGGCATGACTTTCCACAATTAAAGGGGACATTAAAAGCAATGAATGGAGAGGGGGGACCGGTCTCGAGATGCCATGAGGACATAAAAAGACCAAAAAGAAGAGACACTGGTGAGGATGAGGAGCACAGGCGTCAGTTGGCCTGCTTACTTGTTTGTACAGTTGAGGCCGTGAGGCAGAGTTCTCAATCAAAGAGTGTGTCATGGCGATTAAAGGGCCATTTTCCTTCATCTATGGTCCAGTGTGGAGAGGAGCAAGCAGCAAGTTTAGAGCAATGTCTTCAAGCACAGTACCCAGATTCAGCTTAGATTTACTGACAAACAAACTGCTCAAGAAGGCCTTTATACGTTAATGGTTATGAGGTTATACAGTATCCTTATAGCTTACTGGTAAAGTTAGCACAGGCAATTTTACTAAGCAAGGAGCATTCTGTGGAAAAGTTCACTGCATGTAGTTGATTAAAACTTGGGATGCACTGAACCGATACTGTTATCAGATCCTGAAAAAACTGCTGGATCAGATATCGGCTTCCAAATATTGGTTCAACCGATATCATAGTTGGAAGATTTATATTACTGATGTAATGAGACTTTATTTACTGGCTATAGTCGGCCCAGAAAGCAAAACTGCTCTGTCGTTAGTTGAGAGATAAATAACAGCCACATACTACATTTAGATCAGTTCTGTCGTATATTAAATTTGTTTAAAGGAAATAAATGCTGTTTTCAGTCTCTGCACTAGTATCGGTTGATATTGGGTATCAAGACCTAACAAACCTTATATACCTATACATATATTATAGCATGTAATCTAATAATTATTATATAATGTTAGCTTATAAATACTCATCTACTGACTGAGGGACAAATCTATCTCTAATGTACTCATTTTATTTAAATGTGTAAGCTACACTCACCACCCCATACATAAAACTATTTACATTTTACTTATACAACTAAAACAATGAGATTGAACTTTTCCACTTTTCATTTTTAAAAGTACCTACATGTTTTACTTCAGCACTACAGAGAAATATAAGTTTAGCATAGCCATAAGCTCATGAATGAAAGGGCCAATAGCAGCTGTTGTAAAGGAGCTCAGCATCTTTAACATGCTCATCATTATCAATGCAATGCGACTGTCTTTCAGTTGCCTTTGAAAAGATAGTACCAAAAGCTTCTATTTTAACAAGAGTAAATGAGTCATATAACCATGCTTTACCCCACCTGGTTGTCCAAATACATGAGGTTCCTATGGAGATGATGGGAAAGAATGTCGTTCTACCATCAGCAGCAAAAAGACGAGAGAAGAGGTAACACAAGAATGAGACAATGTAGATAAAAACATCTCTCTCTCACACACACATATGCATACATACACATACACACAAAGACAGATGTAGAATCAATTTAAGTGCATGGCATATTTTGTACCAGGAAGAAAAGAAAGGAAGGGACCTCTCAAGGTGAAAAAAATGGGTCAGGTTTGAGATGTGCTACATAGAGTTACAGTATAGGACACACAGCCCCTGAATATACAACAAATATGACTGGAACACAACTTGAACATCAAATGGCAAAATCAGACATGTAAAAATGGTACTAGATTAAAATAAATGCCCACACTCTTAAATACTTAACCAGGCCACTCAGACCATTTGTTTTGAGTTATTTATTCCTCTTTCCATTTTGGTTTTTCCTTCTTTAGTTGCCATGGTAAATACATAACTGCTTGCATATCAAATAGATAGGCTATAATTTTGTCACAACCCTATTTGTTTATCGAGGCTTGGGACAGACACAAGTATGCACAATGTTATTCACAGAGGCTGGATTATGTCTTAAACACACACTAAATCAATTTAAAGGTGCACTATGTAAGATCCAAAATCTTCTATTCTCTAAGGAGATATTGTTGTTTTGCCTGGACTAACATAAATATAAATGTATTTACATATGTTTTGCCTAGAATTAAGTAAATGAAAGATAACATACTGTAAGTTTATGCCATATTGTGGAACATTCCAGGCAAAGCAATAACAGAACATCATGAAACATGGTGGTGAAGAATCCTCCACCAGAAAACATACACAGTGCACATTTAACATAGATGTATTCATAGGTTTTAGCTTCCTGTTATATGTGATATTTTGAAGACATTTGCCCATTCAAAAGATATATTTGTTTTGAATTGTTAATTACTATGGCAATGTTGATAGATTTTCATCACTCTGAAACCCATGGATAGTGAAAAAACAGAAATGACACAAAAACGCAAACAGTCCAAAATAGAGAATAGAAAGAAATAATTATGAAAAAAAACAAAAAAACAAAACATGTTCTTCTTGGTAGTGACCCAAAATGGGGACGTTAGATACTCCACCACACACACACAGAGCATGCTAACTCACAGCCCTGCAGCCCTCTCTTGGGGCCTGACCTTTGGGTTTTCTCCGTCCGTGTTTAGCTGCATTAGTTGTGCTAGAGTATGCTCCCGGATACTGTTTAGTTCTGCCTGCTGCCGACGCAGCTTTATCAGCAGCAAAGTCAGTTCTTCAGGCTGAAAGGTTAGGAGGTAGATGGTAGGAGGCATAACAGCAAGGAAGCAGAGGAGAGAGGACACACAAGGTCAAGAGGTCAAGAGGGCAAAGGTTAGAACAGTTACTATAGTGAACATGCAGCACAAGGCAAAGGGATTATTCAGACGTTAGAAGTCAGTTATAAGAGCTTCAAATAAAAACCTCTATTAACTAAGGGTGAACAATTTTAGAATATTGTGCCAAGAAAAAGGTTAGAAATTCGAGACAGCTGAAATCAGAAGCAGTATTTGGGAGTCCATTTGAATTAAACACATTTATAAAGTAGAAATGCTGCCAGAATGTTTAAAGAGATTAAAAAAACAAGCATAATACCCAGATAACTGACAGTAAAATTACTCTAGTCAAGTATTTTTTACTTATCCATGTATAAAAATACTCTAAAACAAATCCAGTTGATCTAATAATATTGTTTTCATACTATTTATTTATTTATTTTCAATCGAATTATTGAACAGGCATCAATACTGGAAAATGATCTACATGTATATCAGAACAAGCAACTGTATGATATATTTTTTTGAAACTACAGTAATCTTGGTAAAAGGTTTTCTCCAGAGTAACAAAATTGAATATGAAATGAAATTTGAGTAAACTGACAACACAAGCTAGGTATGAATTCCTAACCAAATACTGTGCTGTGCTGTCACTGACAGTTTTAGCCATATTTAGGTCCAAAATCAGGATTTCTGTGCCTCATTCTAACGATTCCACTTCATTTTGAATATTAATGTACATCTGTACAAAAATATGCAGCTGTAATAACATAATTTCTTTAAGATTTAAATTTACTCCATTTGGACAATGCACATAAATTCCTGATCTATCTTAGCGTGTGCCGAGTGATGGGGTTTAACGTCTCTGCTGATGCAGGGCCAGTCCAAGAGCTCCTGAAGTGCGCATTCCCTAAATCCTACTTGGAACATAGATCCTCATTTTGCCTAAATCTGTCTTCTATTTAGGTTAGGTCGTGTCTTATTGGAAAAAAACATTGAAGGAGAGTAAGAAGGGGTTGAGAGGGAGGATAAATGGACGATGTGGAAACAAACTTGTTTTCTATTAAGTCTAAATTATACAAGCGATGAATAAGATAAATGACATTGTGGTTTTGGAGAGTACACACACACATACACACACATAAGCTCTGAAAGCACGAGGGAAGTTTGACTCACTGTTTTGCCTTGAAGAGATTGAGCTGAGATGGTTTGGACTGGGATTCCTGCAGGCATTGACCTCCGATCAGGCGGATAAGCATACTGAAAGACAACATGACAATAATGTAGATATTTTTTTAATTTTATTTTGCTTTTTTCAGCATTAAGCAAACCTGTACAAAATATCTGTAAAACTAAAATACTTGCCCACAATGTTAATCATAGCTTGAGGCCAACATAAAAAGTCCACTGACTTGTGACTCCATGTGGTTTGGTTTAGTTAATGGTCACTGAACTTTTTCAGAATTACATTAAATGTGCCTTAAAGAAGACCTTTTCAGCAAAATGGACTTTTAACCATGTTATAGTTGTTTCCCCTCACCATTTACTCATCCAAAGTTGTATTTAGAGTGATTCGTCACTGCAGTTTTCTAACGTGGAAGTCAACAAGCGATTTAAAATGTCCAAATTATAACATAATGATCCTAAGGGTGCAATAGATTATTACTATATAGCAGACACAAGCACAATAGGTTTTCTTTAAATAACATTTCTGGTGGAGGCCCGCCGCCTGCTTTTCTCAAAGGATATGACATTGCTTTGATGAGAATATAGCATTAAACTGATTTATTTCCATAGGAATTATCAAGTGTCTGAGGAGAGGCAAGCCTGCTCACTGAAAGAATGTAATCATTTAAGGTTTTTTTATAGTTACACTGTGCACTTTTAAACACTGGTCAAAAGTAGAATATAATAAAAATCAGATAAAAAAGATGTATTTATTGAAAAAATGTCATTTAAATGAAAAGTTTACCTTGCTGACTGGCGGCCTGAGCCTCCTGTCCATGCCCATATCCCTCCTGTAGACTGGAGAGGACAGCTCAGAGCGTGCAGTGCTCATGTTGTAGGACCTCATGGGCGAGTAACCTCCGTACATGGACAGGGAGCCGTGGGAGGGCGAGGGGGGGATGGAGTGGCTGGGCGGGGCATGATCTGACAGGTTAATCATGGTTTTGGGACTGGCCATGTTACTGTACAATCCTGAGTGTCTGTTATAGGCCTGTCTCTGCTGCCATTCATACAACTGCCACAAGGTGTCATCTCTCATGGAGCGGCGTTTGTCGGCTGGGGAGGGACCCAGGGCCTGATCATACAGAGAGGGGGACATGCTGCAGATACTGTCCCGCTGTGCCATGCTGTTCCGGGGCATGCTGCGGTACCCGTCCCCATACTGAGGCATGTATGGGACACGATGACTGGGCATGTTTCTTGGCATTGTCTGGTATGAAGTAACACTGTGGAGAGAATAAGAATTATATTACTGTTAATAGTTGCAAATGATCAGTGGTGAGATATTAATGGTTAATTATTTGTTTAATTTAATTTTAATTATTTTGGTCACTTTCACATTTTCTCATTTACAATAATGTGGAAAACACACTATAAACCACACCTCTGTTTCCAAAGGAGCATTTAGACATTAAAGCTCCTTCTATTGTCAGCAACGGGAATGAACAATGGGAAAAATAATCAAATCAAGTTCTTATGAATGTTATGCTAATAAAACCAAGCATCTGTTATGAATACAATTTGACCGCAGAACGAGACCAGTGATGGCTTATGAGAATTCAGGAGTTTTAACTGTAACGCAACAATCTGGACAGAATGCAATCGGAGTATTTCGGAGTGCTCAGAGAAGACAACTTTAGATTAAAGGATTAATGAAAATGAAGAAGTGTGAATAAAACAATATAAAGCCCCAAATATGTTTTTGAGAGGACAACAACATAACTTGGTTAAAAGCTCAACAAAAAGCTTAAAATCTCAAAAAAGTCAATTAGTAACTAAATGGTAGTTTGCCAATGTGTGGTTGTCACAGTTAGGGTAAAAAAGATACATTTATAATAGTGAAAAGTACTAGTATAGCAATACCAAAATCTAACTTGATCCAAAGTTGAATTATATGTGCGGTAAACAGAGCAATGGAAAAAGAAATTCTCAAGTTATTAGTGTAATTATAAAATATAAACCAATATTAATGTATTATTTAGGGCACCTCTTTCAGTATAGAAAATAAATGCATACAAGTAGAAAATGAACTAACTAGAGTTCCCTAGTGGGTAGGAACAGAGAAAAGCCAAGCCAGCACAAAAACATGCTGCTGAGGAGATATATAGAAGATCAGATACATACTAAGTTTCAGCCAAGTCAAATGAGAACCAGAGCAATGCCAGTAAGAAACAAACTCCACTAATTAAGTTTTGCAGCTACTTTGTACTTGTTATTTTAAATGTCATGTATATACACTGGCATGTGCTGTAAACACTCTTTGTTGACAAAACATACTTTAAGTCGTAAACATCTTTGGAGAAAAAGCCATGGACGCCAAACCCTGAATTAACATTAGAGTCTCAGTTCTGAAGTCAAGGTTGTCTGAAGTGGCTGTTTATCCATCTAACATGTACTTCAGAGTCACAGTGTTATTTATAGGCTAGTCTAGTGAATGATTTTAATATTGGATTTTAATATTGCCACATTGATTCAATAACAATAAAAAAGAAAACTGTTTATGTTTTTGTTATGGTAACATTTTTGTTTTGGTTCTCGAGCCGATTATCCAATCACAAACCTGAATGAACTCTTCAAACTGGATTATCAGCGAATAAAATCACCTTGTGTTTGTGTCCTCAGTAAAGAAGCTAATAGTCTCCCAGCCGATACCAATATCCAATATTTATCTTTCTTCTATGTCCAATAATCAATATTTTACCATACCAAGTCAAGTTGTAATAAAGTTTACAAATGAACTTTTCACTTTTGGCAAAGAAATATTACATTTTTTTTCTGTTGTTCTGCTCATATAGCAGCAGTCAGCAAACCTCTAGAGGCCACAGTGCCACAGAGGGCACGCAGAGGGATTCTGAGGGGCACATGTAGAGAAATTGTCAGAAAAAAATATGATGTCCTGCTGTGCTCAATGACGCGTCATAACTGCCGTGCACTTGCTACCACAGCTCAAAACTGCTTCTGTAATGACTGTCTGCGCTCAGTCAGCCTCTCCCCACTTACTGGCCACAGCGGCTTTCAGGGCTTTCCTCCACTACACATATGCGCACACTGGAACGAGTATAAACTACAAACGGAATTAAATAATAAACACATAAAGAATAAAATATAAATATAATAATATAATATTAATATATATTTTCTCTAATCATTTAAAGAGTTTTAACAGTTCTTGAAATAAAGTAGGCATCATTAGGAATAAACGATGGTGCTGAGAATATTAAGTAAGAGCAAAAAGGCACCAAAAAGCACCAGAATTAAGAGATTTACTTCAGTTCACTCCAAATTTTCTTAGAAAAATTCCTCCAAATCCCCTTTTCATGATTGCATGAAGAGTCAAGGGGCGGTTTAATACCATTTAGACCACATAACATTTTGAGTAACATTATGAATGAATGAGCTGCACTTAAAGTACAATGTTGTAGTTCTTACATTGTACTTTTGTGGCAATTTAAGATTAAAGTTAAAAAAAGTTTAATATCATGTGGCTAGCAAGTGGTGGCATACTGAAGAGGCCTGAACTTTTCGAAATGGCACCCGGAGCCAAAAAATTTGCTGACCCCTGTCCGACAGAATCTTTGAACTCATAAAATGCTGACAAAAGTACTGATTAACATTTTCTTTCTGAACTTTGCGCAATTTTGAAACCTATCATCAAACATTGTTCTAACCCCGAACTGACCTCCTCGTATCATCGTCCTGCCCACGTCCCCTCTGCGTGCGCACCCACTGCTCTAGCTGCTGCATGGAGTTAGTCCGGCTCAGGGTGCGGTCGGGCTCAGGGTGGGCGGGGCTTCGCTGAGTGGAGACGGCAGGTGTTTCGTCCAGACACGTCTCCCCTCCTCCATTCACCTGGGGCCCATTGTGCTGTCCATCGGTCTCTGCGGGCGTCCTCTTTGACACTACATTAGCCGTGACAGCTGCCGCTTGGTTTGGCTGTAGTTTGATACTGTTGATTTTGGTGAGGGGCCGTTCACGCTCTTCTCCATCTTTCTGAAAACCGTATCTTTCTGCGTCCCGATGCTTCCGCTCCTCCTCGGCTGAGATGGGGCTGACAGGTGCGGCGTGCTCCCGGGCCACCTCTATATTGCGTTCGTTGTTTTGGATTTCTGGTTGTGTGAGTGCTGGTCTGTGATTGGCCACATGGTTGATTTCTTGAGGTCCACATTGCTCCACTTTTAGCCTGTCCAACCTGCAGATCAGAAAGAAAAACAAGTTATATAAACGTTTTTTGATGAACTGCATTATAAACTAGATTCAAGAAGTATTAAATGGGCTATAGCTTGGACAATGTTTAGTCAACTGCAGTAATAAAATTCAGTTGCCAGACTGCCATAAAAGCCACTTTGTTGTTACTGTGTATGTTGGGTGAAACCGGATTATCTGGAGAAAACTGACTGAGATATGTGAACAACAGAAAGGCCTCTCACAGCCTGGTAATCAAACCTGGGACCTTATTGGTGTGAGGACAGAGTGTTGAATCTGACAACCACATAGTATTAGTCAGCAAAAATATTACATTGACTGCTAGCTACTTAGCCATCTAGTTTTACAGAACAGTTTTTCTAAACCAACAATACAAATGCAATTACCATCAGGCAATGTTTTCCCACCTTTTTTCCCCCTGAGTAGATGCTAAAAATCCCCATAATCGCCTAAATAAATTCAAATGTTTTTAGTACAATAGCAGTCGTTGTGGGCTCTGCAGGCAGCAATCAAATTTCCCTTTTTAATGAGTGTTTTATGACATTGTGATTAAAATACTATTAATTGTTCAGTGGTAGGAGATTCTAACAATAGACTGATGGGAAAAAATTATGGGGAAAGAAACAAAACCAGTGAAGATCCGTAGTGTTTTCTGCAGCTACTAGAAGCACATAAAGCCAAACCAGATCCCTTCGTAAAACTACTTCTGTATGGAGAGGTTAGATGTGTTGAGCTGGGACTGCAATAGTCTATTTGTTGTTCCTTTAAACCTCTCCTAAAGACCTGTCCATGGCTCTAAGCTCCTGGGGGAGGCTCAGTGGTAATAGACACCGCTGCACCTTGGCCCCCGAAACACCGAAGGTCAACGCTTCAAAGTTCAGATCGTTCCCCACAACAGCACGGCTCACTGGGTTAGCAATGAATAGGGCGATAGCAAGGGCACGCCATCCAACTTTCCACTTGTATTCTTTTATATAGTCACACCAGAGCACTGATGTCTTTACCAGCTTCAGTGACTTCATATTCCCCAACAGAGCACAGTTTCAGCCATGTTTTAAGCTTTTAGGGCAATTTTTTAAAATCAATAATGCAACCACAAGTGGTGAAATGGAAATACTATAGAAAGAGGTTTTCTTACCAACACAGAGGGTAAGAAAACCTCTTTCTATCCAGACAGCATTTTTGTCTGGATATGTTATTGTTATGCCTGGAATGTTTTGGCAGTATAGTATTAAACTAATCTATTTTTCATATGCATATTCTTAATGTAAATGCGGTCACTTCCCCAAACATCTGACATTTACCTTCTCTTTATGGAAATTAGGTAAAATGCCATACTGTGGAACATTTTAATCAATAACAAGGAATAGCAAGCAGATGGGAGGCGCTCCAGCAGAAAAGTTCTCTAGTGCACCTTTAAAGCTGTAAAAATGTAATATATTTTTTTCAACGCTCACAATCTCATGTTAATAGAAACAAACATCAAATAAAGTGAATAATTAATCTCAATGCTGTTAAAATGCATTTAAAATAATACAAACGCTGCTTTTATTTCTGTCTGTGACTACAGTGCTCCGGAGTTGAACCTTAACGGAGTTGGGCCTCTGCAGTGCTGTGTAATTACTGAACACTTGAGCAGTCCGCCTCTGCTCGCTCATGTAAGAAGAGGGCATTAGTCCAGCCCTGTGCCAAATGACAGACATTGATTTAGCACAGTTTGGAAAGGAAAAGTCAAACTAAATGCTAACTGTGGCCGGTACAAACTCATGACCATTTAACTCTTAATCTTACTAGTAGAATATTTATAGTAATTTATGATTAAGAAATGTTGACTCAATAAATTCTAAGAAAGCATGTATGAATATGAGTTTTACCACTTTAAAGGACCTATATTACGCTATTTTATTATCTATGCAAATCACAAACATACCTGGACCCAGCATTACCAATATCTACTAAACTAAAGGCAAAAGGTAGCTCTAGAGATGTAGACAGACTAATAATAAAGGGCAACTCAAACATGTGTGAATGAAACAAAACATAACTCCAGGTATGTTTTTGAGGAGGTAACAACTTTATAATATGGCTTAAAGGTTTTGTGTAATATAAGACCTTTAAGGCATTTCTTTTTCTTTTTTTTTGACTACTTTTATTTCTTGTAGTGTCCTTTTTCATATTTGGTTAGCACTACTTTTACACAAAAACCCTTAGACAACTTGACAAGACATACCTAACCATTGAAGTTGTCCTTTATTATTTATTTAAAAAAAATAATGTTAAACAATAAAATCCCATGTTATAGCATCTTCACAAACCTTATGACTGGTTCTGAATGCACAAGAGCTGCATCCGTCATCACTTTCATCCACGACTCCATCTCTTTGGCAGTGTCTGTGCAAAAGTAGTACGTCCTCATGTTCGGGTGTGTGGCCTGAGTTCACATGGGACAGGGTCAGGGGTCAAAGTAAACGTAACCTGCAAAAGAAAAAGGAAAATGTTGTATTGGTTTGTGCAGTGGTGTAAGAAGTACTCAATTTTGTCACTTAAGTAAAAGTGCAAACATCAGAGCAAAGAAAAAGTCAAGTAAAAGTAAAAGTATCACATGGAAGTAGTAGTAGTAGTAGTAGTAGTAGTAGAAGTATTGAAGAACCCGTTTAAAAATGTACTTGAAGAGTAAAAAGTAAAACCATTATGCACAGAGTTTGACATCTAATAAAGCTTTAAATGTAATGATTTTGACTTTGCTTAACAGAAACAAATGAATCTAGCTAGTTTTATTTGTATATTTTGTCTGCTCAAAGTAAAAATGTGTTAAAACTAAACCCCCTCCTCTTTTCAGCAGGTCTCACACAATAAAAAATACTTTTACTTTTCAGTCCAGTTAAAAAATGTAGTAGATACTGCTCTCAAACGTAATGAAGTAAAAGTAAAAGTATCCACTTTAAAATGTACTTATGTAAAGTACATATACCTAAAATATATACTTAAGTACAGTACTTTACTACTTTTACTTTTTGTGGTTAACAGTAGGTCTATATCTAAAAATACTTGTCATACTTACCATACAGTGCACTGTTGTATGAAAGACATATTGTTCCATAGCAGCTCTGTTCTCTCGCAGCGAACAACCCATCACATTGTTGGGACACAAAGGGGAAAGAGAAAAACAGAGCTTTTTTTTAGTATCTTGAAATCCTGTTTACAAGTACTGCTAAAAGTACTGAGAATATTTCTGACCCAGCATAGAAACATCAACAAAACACACAGAATTTGACCATGTCTGGGTTAAAAAAACATCATAATGGTCACTCCAGTGTTCTTTCCTCTTGCACTCAGAATGGCCTCTATCTAAGTTGTATAATAGGGCAATGTGGTTGGAGGGACCTTGAGCAAACTCCTAGACGTCTGTTTTGAATGGGAAAAGTCAGAGTTTTGTTGAATAGTGGTAAAATAGAGAATCACAACTGAACTTTCTGGTTGCTTTTAACTTCCACATAAGACTTTTCTATAACAATTGCAATACTGCAGGAATGAAACATCTATATTTGTTAGTAACAGTAAGTCCTAAAGTCCTAAATGTTAACAATTTGAACACTCCTTAGAGCCAAGAAATAGTGTTTGGGAGAGATCACAAGAATATTCAAACACCCGGCATGTTTCTGATGAGGGAACATTACAAAATGGTATAAAGCTCCAAAAAGTCAAATTTGCATAATACACCCTCTTTAATGAACTAGAAACATTTTGAAAAAGTAATAAATGTGGCCCAAAAATATTGCTAAGTCAATTTAGTCAGTATTGTGATAGCCCTAAAATAAATGCTGTCTATGTCATTATGGAAACTCCTTTTTAATACCCTTGGCTTTTGAAGTCTCTCCTGATGGATGCGAGGTTCAAATACACATCTTAAATCTTGACAGGACTATGTAGTTTGACAGATGGGAGCGCGCACAGACCTTAAAAGCGTACTTCCTGTTGATGTGGTCGTCCACGGACAGCATTGAAATATGAAAGCTCGGAAGGAGGATGCTGCCCAGGATGCCCTCTTCTTTTTCATCTGTGGAGACAAATAAAAAAGAAGTTAGGTCAGGGGAGCAGAGTATTCAAACTGTCAAAAATAGATTAGAAACACATGTAATAATAAAAATGACTAGTATAATAGTGATATATAACTGGTAATTTTCTTCTAAAAGTAAGTTCTAAGTTTAGGATGAAATAACTGTTTCTGAAGTAAAAAAAAAAAAAATAAATAAATACAAATTTAAATCTTTGTCATTACAATATATTGTGATGTGTGAGCTACTGTGTCCAAATAATTTCCTTGTGGATCAATAAAGTTTGAAGATTAGTAGAAAGTTAAGATGCAACGATAAACAATGAGGTTAGGGTTATAGTTTTGTGTGATTGTGTGAACAGTGAGTCCCGTAGCCAATCACTTGATAAGATGAACATTGATTCAGTGTCCAGTGCAGATAAGCTATTCTAATCCTCATTAAGTTAGCAGACTGGCCTCTGTTCTGACAATGCGCCCCTCTCCACAGGGGGGATTAAATCAGTCCAGAGTTTTAAGCAGAGAATTGCTGAACCTCCCAATTCAATCTGTGTGCTCAGAGGGAATGCATGAAAACAAAATCGGATTCAGCTGACTGTGGATGTCCCATTTGTGGATAGACATTTCCAGTGCATTTTTTACTTATCTGCTGAGAATTGCAGTAATAGGAGATGTAACAAGGATAACAAAATACAAAGATGACAGTGAGATAAACTTAACGAGATTGTACACATTCTTTTCATCGAATAAAGTAAGACTTGTTTGCTCCAGTACAGATATATTGTAAAAGCAATTCGTGGGGTCAACATGAGACTGCAGTCTGCTGTCTGCATCCATAGTTTAGTGTGAGCACCAGGAAATAGTCTGCTGTTGGTGCACTGTTAGCATGCTAGTTGTTATTAGCATTACAATGTTGGCAAAACTTTACTCTGACACTTATAAACTCACCGCAGTGAATAATTAGTATGCTAAGAAAGTGCGGAATAACTTTGGGCCACAAAAATGAACTAGTTCAGACTATAAAAATTCAATACAGCGCCTTTAACCAAGACATTATGACAAGCAATATGAGTAGTAGCTTTCTATCCCCACATGCCTTGAATTTACCACTGTCTCTTAGAAGACTTCACATAACAAATAACAGATCAATCCTTTGTCTTGTTGTAAGGAAAGGCAATACGGCATAAAATCTTGACAATTGTCTTAACAGCTTAAAGTCGCAACTTTGATTCTATGACATCTCATACACATTTGGCAGCTTTAAAGTTCAAAATCAAACTAAATCAAAGCTTTTCTTAAGATTAGATTACACTTCTCTGTGATTAGTTAAATCCTCCTGTCACTCACTCAGAGCAAGACAGATGCTGAACAATGAGAGGAGTGGGTGGTGAAATGAAGATATTAAACAGAGAGGCTGTGAATCACAGTCTAATGATCTTTCAGAGTTTCTCCTCCTAATCATCATCAAATCAGAATAAGATTTTATGTCAACTGTACTTTGTTATTTTGAAGAAACAATGAATATTGTATGACCCATTTGACAATTTGAAAACTAGTGCACTGTATACTTCTGCCTGCCATCTGAGTGCACTTTATAAAAGTGCGTGTTTAATGGATAGAAAGGTCAGTTCAGGACCCTGCCCAATCTCTGCTGATGAAGACGATTTCTCCACATGTCCGTCCACATAAAGCCTTTGAGTCTGCTGCTGTCTGTGGCGTTCAGAGGCAGTGGGCGGAAAGATGGACATGACTGGCACTGACACCAGAAATAACTCAGACAATATGTCATCCAGATCGACAGGAAGCAACACTGTGCGCCCATAAAACATGAGAGAGGCAGGGGAATATACAGCATGGGTCTGCATCAATAATCTGCTGGTTTTGTGCGGTAGAGAGTGCAAATACTCAAATATACAGCTACTATGACCACACCTAATGCTACTATTACTACTACTATTACTATAACTATTAGAAGTGAGGGAAGTAAATCACCCAGTAATATGTATACCAATACTACACCGCTAACACCTGAGAAAAACAAAGGAATATACAGCATGGGTCTACATCAGTAGTCTGTCTGCTGTTTTTGTATGGTAGAGTGAAGAAATCGAAATATTCTGCAACTACCACAACAACTACTACTATAACTGCTACTATTACTACAGCTATTACAAATACTACTACAGGTGGGAGAAATAAACCACCCAATAATATTTATACTAATACTACACTAAACATGAGAGGAAGTGAGGAATATATCATGGGTCTGAATCAATAGCCTGTCTGCTGTTTTTGTATGGTAGAGTGCAAGTACTCAAATATACGGCTACTACCACAACTACTACTACTACTATTACTACTACAAGTGGGACTGCTGCTACTGCAATTGGCAATATTATTCATATTCATATTAGAAGTAAAAACACCTAATAATACTAATACTACACCCACTGCACTCTGTAACACTACTCCAGCTGCATTTCAATGTTTCATACAACATTTCTTGAATACTGCCACTGCCAATTAAATTAAGTGCAACTACAAGGCCACTACTACAACTATTGTTGCATAAAATTGTATCATGAGCTCTTTTGGGATTTTTCCACTTAACAATAAATGGCGAAGTATACAATAGAATTTACAGTACAAATGATGAAACGATATTGCAATGGAACAGCTCAGAGCATCTGTTGTACTTAGGCCTATCACAATAACAAAATTTGGAGGACGATATAATTTGCTACAGAGATATACTGCAATATATAACAATACTGAAACTATTTTAAGTCACTAACATAATAACAATATTTTAAGACAATTCCAGTAAAACCTTTTTAAATAGACCGTATCATTCAAAAGGCCTGAGCTGGAACAAATAAACAGCAGAATGAACCAATAATTAGGCATAGAAGCAACTTATTCAACCCTCTACAGCTCAAATCTTATTGTATTACAACAAACATACCCCAGATTTTCTCCACTTTTACAAAGAAAATGTACCCACAATAAATGCCCCAAAATATATTGTACCAACTTTCATAGATTGAATTGAAGTCGATATAGTAATTATCAGGCCTAATTGTAAAAGTATAGAGTAACTTTCCACCTCTGCTGTACAATATTAAACAGTGCTGAACTGTCAGATGTCCTCTAGATACAGCTGTGCCAATATTTGATCCCCACATCACTGCTGCATGAGAGATGCTGAAGCGATCGGTCAATAGTCCAGTCAACAAGAGCTTATAAAAATGCATGTTAAACAATATGCCGCTGTGAGGAAGGACAAGGCCACAGCTAAATATAAACTTTATACGGACAATGTTGTGTGCAGAGCTACAAAGTTAGTTCCTTATTCACATTAAACATTGTATTATAACACAAATGTACTTACCTCTGTAGTAGAAGAGACAGAGATCGGACAGAACGAACCACCTCTTCTTCCACAGCTTCATCCCTGTACTGTCCTGCAATTACATAAAAGAAAACAGAGTTAGACTTAGATGCCTGCATTATACAATATCATTTGCTGAGGAGACTAAGTGCCCTCAACAGTCTAAAATTTGGTCAACTAAGACACTAGCAACTTGTTAATCAACTAAATGACTAAAATATTACAGCACTGCACCCTGGATTATACAATGGAAGCACAAAATCACACTTTGTTGTCTACTGTATTATTCTAAACATTAAAAAGTAACAATATTGGGAAAAAGGACTGCTTAAAGATGATATATAGGCAATAAGCAAAATGTATGCTCCATAAATAAGATGACTTTATGGGACAAATATAAAACAGGTTAGACCCAAACCTGTAAATACAAAAAACTATATGAAATACGAATAATTGTTTATAAGCAACAGGTTGATTTGCAATAATTCCATTATTACAACAATTAGATGCAACACAATAACAGTTTTCTTCAAAAAACTTTTCTAAATGCTGTTTTGAAAAAATGTAGCTCAGATGTTCTACGTAAAAGCTTGGATCAAAGGCTTTTTACATGGGGGCTTAAAGAGGATGCCGAGCGGTGAGCAGGGTATTAACTCCCCCAGTCTGCTTTATTGGAAAACTTGAGCTGCAGTTTTAATGGAGGATTTGAGAGAGCCCAAAAAGCAGGGGAGGAACCTGAGGAGGTGTATCAGCGAGAGGGCACCACCTTGAATGTGTGTATTGTCGCACTATGTAACTTTTCCAGTCTCAACTGTTTGTGTCCATGGAAATGTTATTGCTTTGCCTCAAAAGTTCCACAGAAGAGCATTAATCAAATCTATCTTATATACTATACGTGTATTCATTACACAAAAATACCTTGAAAACTATGCGTTCTTACTGTGAACAGGGTCACGTCTCGACAGATCTGACCTGTAACTTGGCCTAGTTGCATCCCATGCTTGTCTTCAGGAGGATAGATAAATTTAATGTAGATAAACAAAAAGTACACATACACCAAAAGTGTATATATCTTGTTTTTAACAATTAAATAAGTTAGGCAGATAGTGTTGCTTTAAATGTGACAAGACAAATGAGAGTAATTAAATATGAATTAATATGTAAAATCAAAGCTCTACAAGTACAACATATTTGCATTCTTTCACATATTAAATTCCCTATAACTGCATAGTAATTGATTGCAAATGATCCCTAACCATTTTCCTCTATAAATAATTGTACAATGTCATATGGCTTTATTTGGGCGGGTAAAATAATGAGCCTTCCTTTCACCATGACATCAATCACTCTTGTCCCCCTGGTAGCTCTCAGCTGCAGGCTCACAGCTCCTCAGCCAAAAAGACTTCAATAGTTTCCAGGTTTTTCAATGAGGCCCGGAAAAATAAAAGTGCAAATCCAGCTTTTCTTCGTCGTAGCAGATTTGTGAGTCCTCCGCTTGATCTACGTCACCCCTGATTGAGTTCCCCACTGAAAAAGCAGCTGGCAGCCCCACCAAAGGAAGCCATCGTCCACAAAGCCGTGCTGGAGGGGCTAAAATCAGAACTAAATGAGCCTGTGTCACTCTTAGGAAGTAGGAGAGAGAGGCTAGTTTGGCCAAGTGCACCCTCATGCACCCCCTTTTCACTCTCCTTAGAGCAAGATAGGGAATAAAGCTATAGAGGAGAGGTGATTTAAACTGTTATTGGGCTGCATGGACAACTGAACGGAGACAAGAGACAAAAGAGGACATAGCAACTTGCAAGAAATGGGTCTTTTTTGTTTTGGGGGAGAAAAAGGAATTAAACCTGGTCTAAGCATATTGTACAGCCAAACTAGTAAACCAAAAGGCGTATTTTATGTGAGACTTTTACATTTATAAAATATTCTATCCACATTCACAAAACTTTTCAGGTCTTTATCCTAAGTTTTGCCCCTGGAGTGTCATTACTGAACTGGCTCATGTCCAACTTAAAGATTCAGATGCTATGGCTTTTAACACAATTGCAATAACTATCACATAACTCATTTACATGATGATTAAATGTATATTTCTATACAGTACTACTGTCACAATAATAAAGTTTCTCAATTTCAATACTAAGGACTAGTATTCAATCAAGTCTCACAATAATATCATGGGTTGTCACAATATATATTGAATTATAAGTTCCTTTGCTTAAATGCATGGTTTTACAGTAGCAACAGCTTATAAACATAGGGAACTACATATATCCCATGATTCATTTCAGTGAAAATAACATGAAGAGATATGTTTTTTTACTTGAATTCTTGGGATTTTGACAGAAATAGTTCACACCAAAATCTTGTCAAGGTATTTTAAAAGCAGAAATGTGTCCCATCTACAATTATATCAGCCTCTCCAAAATGTTGCAATAAATATCATACCGTGAGATGCATATCGTGATAATATTGTACCGAGAGATTTGGATATCATTATATCCCTAGTATTCAATACCAATTCTGAAACCATGACGATAATAATAAAAAAAACAACAACTTTTATTTAGGCAACATAATGTGATTTTCAAGATTAAATAATAGTACTTTTAATGTTTCCTTTTATTTGTGTAATCCCTCAGTCCTCCAGGTAGGTTCCATAGTGATTCATGGGAGTATACTAGTTCTTTGGTCTTTTTTAATATCAGTACTTGTTCAAATGGGTATCTAGTTTGGATACTAGTTGTAGTAGTGATTAGTATCTGATTTTCGATGCTTTTGACAACCCAAGGATACCAAGATACTAATTACTAGATACTCGGGTACAGGTATCAGAAATACTAGGCTTATATGACCACAATATTTTTATCATGATTGTGGTATCAGTTTTGAGTATCGCCTTTTTTAGTATCAAAACTGACTTGAAATTTTGGCATTGTGACAACACGATTTTCTGCTACTGTCTGCTCTACTAAAAGTGTTTCTAAAGGTCATCGCTCACCTGCTTATAAAGCCAGTTTTTCTTGATGACTGGAGCACCTGGATTTCTCCGGATAGAGTTGGATCTCTTCCCAAAGTTATGGATTTTCTTGGAAGGTCTTGAGGGCTAGAAAGGAGACAGTATTCTTCGTTATTATTATTTGTTTACATCAAAAAAACATTTACACAATCTCCTTGTACTTACCCTTTCTTTTTGTCCCTCTGCCACCTTGCCGGCCGGGCTGTTGGCATGGTCCGAGCCTGTGTAGTTGGAGGCCTCGCTCATGGTGCTTACTGGACGTGGTTTTCTTTCATTCGCTGGTGCTTTGGCCGCAGTCCTAAAGATAAGAAAAAGACACAAAATGGCTGAACAAAAAGCAGCTTGGATCACTCACTGTTATAGACTCGCAATTCAACATCTGACAATCTCAATAAAAGTGGTTAAAAGGGAGTGATCTATCCTTGTATTGTCTGTTCCCTTATTTCATCTCTGAAGTTCAAACTTACTGTTATAATGAGGTTTCAGCATGGGCCTATGAATCAAGCCAATTACTCTGAACTTGTCACACCAGATCTGTTTTTCAATACTCCAGCAGCCCTAAATGGTCCGTTAAGTCGTCCTGACATATTGCAACGTGACAGGAGATCAGCAAATGGGTCAGGGTAATTTCAAAGATGAGGAGCAGTTAGAAAAGTTCGGACAAAAAGACAAATGTTGGGTCGGCTAATGTATCTTGGACTTGGAGGAAGTTGCAAGACTATGAAAATGTCCTATATATTCTTTGGGGCAGGAACAATGGAGTCTGTAGGGAAAAGGAGTAGGGAAAACTGCAGTAAGCTGTAATCTATGAAATATCCAGGGATACAGGACAGTGAACAAGGACAGACCCCAAGATCCTATACCGCAAGCCATGGCTCAACCACCTCATTTTTCAAAAAAGTCATACATTTTCAAACTAAAACATAGGATAGTAAGTAGTAGAAAATAGGATCTCAGCCTAAAACTTTTCTACAGGACTGTTATAAAAGGGTATTGCTAAAAATACAGTATGTCATTTTTAGAATAGGTCTGTTTTACTCCATACTGTGAAATATTATAGCCAAGGGAACAGTATTACAGTATGCAAGCCTGTTCAGAGTAAGGACAGATGTTTTTTTTTAAGTTTCAGTGGAATAAAAACAAAAAATAACACTTTTATTTTACTCTGTTTTAGCAAAAAAGTTGCATACTATGGCTTTATCTAAACTTGAAGGGAATTTGACCATTATCTGGACAAGTCTGTTAACTCCTGTGTCGCTTTATTAAGGATACAGCATCATGGCATGGTTAAAATCACAAAATTGCCAGTATAGCAAAACTTAGGCCTTTTACAAGAACACTTTTCATTATTCAGTGCTCAGCTATCCTCACTTTAGGTTCATCTGCCCTTCTAGTGTAATATTACAGCCCATCTGGTCGGCCCAAACAGGACAGAAGCGTTCAGAGAAGACAAACTCAAAGCATAGTTGGTATAAAACTGTTGAGACTGCATGCTGCTAGACTCAGGCAGGAGAATTATAACAAACAGAAAATGCCATCTTGGCTCAGGCCACAGTCCACAACACACTGGACAAACATTCCCATGCAGCGACGCGAGAGACAAAACACTTCCTACAAAAGATAACACAGAAATGGCAATGACACACTTGGTTTCGCTGGTCTAATGCTATCACTAACACAGTGGAAATGAGGACAACTGACATAAATGCTACTGTTACTTTAAGGACAAGCACAGGAGCAGAGTGGTGAGCTCTATGGTAAAGATGCACAAAAAATCATGAGAGTATTATAGAAATATAATCAGAGAAGGCCATATTTATACTGCACGAAAAGAAATATCACAGGTACACAACAGTATTAAAAATTTTTTTGTTGTCATACTGAGTGGAAATGAAAACATGCTGTGAATTACAATTTATACAACAAAATGTAACATCTATTTAGCCCCAATTTTGCCTTGTTTAATCCTGGTTTAGTCTTGTTTTAAGTTTGATTTTACAGTTATTGAACATTGTACATCTTTTCTCCTATCGTGCAGCCAATTGCATGTCACCACCCAAATACATCCATATATTCCAGAGTATTCCAGATGCTATAATTTTAACTTTTATGAGAGGTATGGAGGTAGGGTGGTTAGCATTCATGCAGAAGCTTGTCCCTCACAACACAGACAATGTAATTTGATGACTAAAAAAATCCCCTTGTAAATAAATGCGCCATAGAGTGACTGGCAACAGATGTTTCTAAGGAACTAAGCATCCTTTGTCTAGTCGTGTGATACTTTAAACTGTACTTTGTGCTGCAACTTGAAAAATCTAACTCCATTCCTTCCTGTTACAACTAGGGATGCACCAGCTTCCAAATATCAGTTCAGACGGTATCCTGGTTGAACATATTGATGGAATAAAACTATTTACTGATCATAGTTAGCACAGAAAATATCATAATGTCTGAATTTTCATTTATAGGAACTGAAAAAGTTGGATCGGTACAACCCAAATTACAACATTGCTGACCGCTGCAATATCTGTTTGTGTATTTTCACGTATAAGCAGCTTGACGAGGTAGATAAGTGAATATCGAGATTCTGATCAGGTAATGGGGTCCACAGCAGTACCAGTGACAAGCCAAATCCTATGTGAAGTGTAATCAATGTGGGTTTGTCGTCACTATACTTGACCTGGGCATGGCAAAGGGGGCTGGGGGACAAAGGAGGGGGTTTTAATGCTCTATTTGGCTAAAAGACTATTTCCCACATCGGTCTGTGAGCTAGGGCTCTCAGTGGGATTTGTGATAATTAGTGTGAATCTGATAATCGATAGGCTGAGTGAAGAGGACTGGGAGTAAGCACATTGTTTAGCCCTGCGGTGTGTTATAGAAAGTGCACATGGGCCAATAAAGTCACATACAAACTAACTAAACTAACACTTATATACAGAATGCTCAAAACCATGATAAGTGTCTTTAATACTATGTATTTATGTTAAATCATTGGGGTGGTGACAGTGACTAAAATTAATATCTCAACATTATCCTAATAACAATAATCAGATGATATAAAATGGACTCAAATGCTTTTAAATGTTGTGGTTGAGGTTTGAGTGACATGCAAAAAGTAAAAGGACCTTAAAACTATTATTTGATTGCTTTATACTGTTTTATTAAGGACAATACACTGGATATTCTCATTTGACAATATAAGAATTATGTTGAAACAAAACAAGAATCAGCTATTTTCACAATCTATAAAATGTAAACCATGCTCTTAACAAATTAATGCTTAAAATAAATGTGTGTATGTCTATGTAGCCTCTAAGTTCCTGACGTGTTCAGGATATCTATATATAATGTCAGACACTTTCACTTTCACGTCACAATGCAAGATGGCATTTACAATCACAGTGGACTTTCACATAGGCTTGGGGAAATGCTTCCAGGAACAGAAAACCAGAATAGCTTCAGCTGTTCAATAGGAGCCATAGGTCTATTTTGTGTATGTCTATGTGTAAAAATATATGGAGGCCTTAGAACACATGTGCCTTCAACATGTGAAATATCTGTGCTAACAATAAGGACTCTATTTTAAAGAACTGACTCTGCTTTAGGCCCAGCACCTGCCAACCAAACACTTTCACCACAACTTAGAATAGAAGAGGAAACCTTACGTAAACTATAGTGGTTCTCAGACTGTGGTGTCCGTTTTACTGTTGGGGAGTCTATGCAGGGTTGATTAATTATGAAGTGACGAAAATGGGCATCCTCAGACCAACCTTCCTCAGGCCCTGTTTTGGTGTTTTTTGAGCCTTGTTTTCATTCCCGAACCAGTCCACAATACAAAATGTTCTTAATAAAAAGAGCAAAATATTTGTAGCAGCCTTTTTTCAACATTAGAGAATACAGTTTCAGGCTTTGTTGTGCTTTCGGGGTATATGCAATGCCAAAAACACCATATCAGGATTTTTTTAAACTGAGATCATAACATCAGTTTATCACAATTCATGCAGGTAATATCTTTTTATATGCCATTTAGGAGTAAGCCATCTGCTGCTTCTGAGAGTTTACACTTCACTGTTTAAAGTGGACCTATTATGAAATATTACAGCTTTTAACCATGTTATAGTTGTTTCCCCTATTTACTCACTCAAAGTTGTATTTGGAGTAATTTGTGCATGTTTGAGCAATCTTTAATCGCTTCTTTTGTATACGCCACTGATATACGGCCACTGCTACGTATTTACTTTCCTAATTTTTGATACATGTAGGATAGGTTTAGTAGCCATTTTGTCAAAATTACCAAAAATTTGCTGTTTGCTACCGTGATCTGCAGCTATCCATCAGTGAGAAATGAGACACAACTCCCATTGGGCAACCTCGGTTTTCTAATGCAAAAGTCGGCATTAATTAGTATATGTCAAAATGAAAAAACATTCAATCACGGGTGTCATAGATTATAACTATACAGCAGACACAAACACAATAGGCCTCTTTAAATCCACCAGTCACTCACTCAGAGCATTACACAGGCTGGGTAATTTGAGGAGTGGGTGGGTAAAAGTGTCTGTATTGTGGCTACATTGACTAAAAATCACAATATGAGAATTGCATATTTTCATATCACCATGCCCTATAAACAGAGCTATGGAAGGTACAAAGCTGGGAGTGGTTTAACCCACAGAGTTGTACCATCTTCAATAGGCATGTCAGTGCATCCTGACTTGTTTCTCCTGAAGACTATTGTAGTGTAGGCGGATAGTCAAAATGACTGGAGGCACAATATACACTGCTCTATCATGAATTCAAAATAAAAAAATACAATTGTACACAGTAAATAAAAGAGTTGTGTACACATTTTGGTAAAAATAATCAAAAAACATACATTTAAGCATCACAAAACTCTGTTAATCGGAGGTGAGATTTTTTATCCCTTTACAATAACAAAAGACAAAGTACAGTGACAGTGAGTACATTGACATGCACCTGAGTGGAAGAGAAAGAATATAACAAAAACAAAAAAAGACACAAGTTCACAAATCTTAGTTACATTCACAGAATACAACTGAATCCAAACTCACACATCTGAAATGCATCACAGGAGGCTACAGGGCAAACCACAAGTCAAAACACGGACTGTGGAACAATGACTGTGATAACAGACAGTCTGACAACACACTGTACATTCACATTACCTGTTTTGGCCTGAAGGTAACGCTTTCCCACAATTTACTCTGAGAAACAGAGGAAAAACAAAACTGTTGTTGAAGAATTTAGAAATATTTCAGTTGAAGTATTGGCAACATT